TCTGTGTCACAGTATCTGCAGCGAGGCCCAGAGACCAACAGAGATGTACAGTACAGGAGAGAGAGACTGGACCCAAGAACAGACCAAGAACCTGACCCTGGACCAAAACCAGACCACTAGACCTGCCCTAGAACCAGACCCGGACAAAAACCAGACCTCTAGACCTGCCCTACAACCAGACCCGGACAAAAACTACACCGGCCCTTAAATCAGGCCTGTCTCAAAGCAGAACCGGATCAAAACTGGATCAAAGAATAAACCTGGACTAGACCAAAAAGTAGACCCAAGATCAGAACTAGACCAAAGAATAGAGAGAGAGAGAGAGACCAGAGAGAAAGAGACCAGAAAGACCAAAGAAAAGAGAGAGAGAGAGAGAGAGAGAGAGACCAGAGGGACCAGAGAGAAAGAGACCAGAAAGACCAAAGAATAGAGAGAGAAAGACAGAGAGAGAGACCAGAACTAGACCAAAGAATAGAGAGAGAGAGAGACAGAGAGAGAGACCAGAACTAGACCAAAGAATAGAGAGAGAGAGACCGGAAAGACCAGAGAATAGAGAGAGAAAGAGAGAGAGAGACCAGAGAAAGAGAGACCAGAACTAGACCAAAGAATAGAGAGAGAGAGACCGGAAAGACCAGAGAATAGAGAGAGAAAGACAGAGAGAGAGACCAGAGAAAGAGAGACCAGAACTAGACCAAAGAATAGAGAGAGAGAGAGAGACCTGAGAGAGAGACAGAGAGAGAGAGAGAGAGAAACCAGAGAGATAGAGAGAGATTGATTCTTTATTGATCCCCTGTAGGAGAATTGCCGGTGTCCAGTTGCAGCAGAAACACATCCATAATAAATACATCATTCTACGAGTCACTAACAATAGTAATAAAATGCAAACCACACTTGAGTTGATAGTAATAAGTGAAAATCCTTCAGGGGCCACTAAAAATCGTTCATAAGTTGAGTTTTTGAGTTTGTGAGAATACTGAAAGGACCAGAGTGGGACCTGGGTTTGATAAGACTGAGAGGCGTTCGTCATTTAAGCAGATTACACAGAAGGAGCCGCGTGATAAGCTTCAGGTTGTTACTGCTGATGTCACGTCTGCAGAAGGAGAACGTGCAAAAGTATTCGACTATTTCTACTACTGTAGTGGAGGAACAGGTCTGAGCTGAGAACCATCAACCTGCATTTGAAGTCTGAGGCTCAATAATAAGTCAATAATACAGTAACACGTTAGACACTAGCCCAAGCGCTAGTAGATATTTATTCATTTATGTATGTATTTTTTTATTCATTAATTTATGTATTTTTTTTATTGTTAATTTATGTTATTTTTATTATTGTTATTTTTATTGTTATTTTATGTTTTTTTCTATTTATTTTGTTTTTTTTAATTATTTTTTTAATCTATTTTTTGTTTTTATTATTTCAGGAAGACACAGGAGCCACACACTTGTTATTATTATAGAAACATACCTTAAACAAGATCCAAAACACAATTTTGCATGAAAGGAAGTGGGAAGAAGAAAACAGAAGTACTTTGTTAGATGTTGAGTAAGACCATCTAATGAGGACTAATAAGTTCTTACTAAATACCAAGTCAAGAGCAAATTAACCATAAATTATAGACTGAATATCACCTCATTAGTAAGAACTGGACCATTACTATCAACCCAGTGTATCATCCGCACACAGTGAAAAAGAGATTACGATCTTTGCAACTTATTTCAGCCTAAAAATCAAATTAAATCCAATAGCAATGCTACACTAACTCAAACACATACAAATAGACTGTATACATTCTACAAACAGGAGACGCTTGGGTGTCCCCTGTTCTGTGGGGCCTCTCACTGATGCAGATAGAGAGGGAGGGTCCCACACACACACACACACACACACACACACAGACGCACAACACACACACACATTAGAGGAGCCGGTTCTGGTCTCAGTGCCATGTGATCCAGGCTTTTGGCTTCCAACCTCCGCAATGGAAATATCACATGGATTTAAACATTGGGAGACTTGGATCTGGGAATGGTAAGTTTTATATCTGGCTCCTGTCGAATACAAAACTTTGACAGGAGACAAGAAAGAGACCGGAGAGAGACCAGAATGAGACCAGAGAGAGACCTGAGAGAGACAAGAGAGAGACCAGAATGAGAGACCAGAGAGAGACCAGAGAGAGACCAGCGAGAGACCAAAGAGTGACAGGAGTTAGACCAGAGAGAGGCCAGAGAGAGACCTGAGAGAGGCCAGAGAGAGACCAGAGAGAGACCAGAGAGAGACCTGAGAGAGGCCAGAGAGAGACCAGAGAGAGACCAGAGAGAGACCTGAGAGAGGCCAGAGAGACCTAAGCGAGAGAGTGACCAGAGAGAGACCAGAATGAGAGACCAGAGAGAGAGACTAGAATGAGAGACCTGAGAGACCAAAGAGTGACCGTAGTGAGACCAGAGAGAGGCCAGAGAGAGACCAGAGAGAGGCCAGAGAGAGACCAGAGAGTGACTAGAGAGAGACCAGAGAGAGGCCAGAGAGTGACCGTAGTGAGACCAGAGAGAGGCCAGAGAGAGACCAGAGAGTGACTAGAGAGAGACCAAAGAGTGACCGTAGTGAGACCAGAGAGAGACCAGAGAGAGAGACCAGAAAGAGACCAGAAAAAGACCAGAAAGAGACCTGAGAGTGACCTGAGAGTATGGGAAAAATATGTGGGGAAAAATTATGTGAGAAGATAAGAAAGACCTCGTTTGATTTTCTATTTTAGTTACTTAAATGATGGTGTACCATGTGAATGTTCTCAATGGAAAAGCTGTGCCATGGTTGTAAAAGGTCGAGGAACACAGAGTTAAAGAAGTGTTTTTGTCTGCTACATCATTTCTCGCTGTTCACACAGACTCTGACGGCAACGACTTCACAACGTGTGTAAAATATGTGTGTATTTATGTTTGAGGATATTATGTTATGGACGGCCGTTTGTGTGTTTGTGTAAAATTTAAAGGAGTTTTACCCGTTTCTGCAAGGATATTTTCAGTTTGAATGTTTAGCACCGCCCCTCAACTCGCTCACAGGCTTCTCATTTCCCCTACGCTCTCATCTCACGGAGCCATCTAGTTTTATTTGCAATCTGATGCTAACATTAGCATGAGCGCAACTGCTTGTTAGCTGTACACCAATCACCGATGAAATGGTACAAAAGCAACGCACTGTTAACAAAATATAAACTGAAAGATTAGCGCTAGTTTTACGTCCACATGTAGTCCGAGCATAGATAGTCCGAGGCCAGGCAGGTTCACCTGGGCTTGATTTTTTCTTTGATCATTTTCTCGCTTTAGTTCCCTCTTCTCTTCCTCACTGCTGTGATGTTTGGGCTGTTTTACTGTGTTTGCAGTTACAGTCGGAGGAGTTATAGCCGCCTATGCTAACATGCTACTGTGTTTAGCAGCGCTGTAGAGGCTAGAGGACGCAGCCTCGTTCTGTGATTGGAGGAGAGTCTCCACTCAGCACTTTTTATGGCCTGAATTCATACACAGCTGAATCAATGAGCTCAAGTTTTCAATAAACTACAGATTATTATACAACTTGTATGTAGTAATAAGCATTTTTATGAACTCAATAGAAAATGAATCGGGTATAGCATCATTAAACAGTTGATGATGTTGGATTTCCTCTGTTTTCAGACTGAAGAGTTTGAAGAACCGTTGAAGATGGTTTGATCCAGATCCACAGTGAGTCTCCAGGTGAGAGAAGTTACACAGATATGCTTTAAACCAGGGAGGTCAAAGTCAAATACATCAGAGAGCCAAAACAACTAATTTTCTACAACACAGTGTACCATATTAAATAATAATATAGTATTAAAAAACAATCTTCCTTCAAAGAGTAAACACATCCCCAGCCCGGGCCTTGACTTTGACACCTATACTTTAAACTATCGAGTGATCAGTGATTAGTTTTGTAAAGATTTCTACATAAGAAACTGAAATTTCAATCTTCTGACATTATATCTTTATTTTATGTGTCCAAATGTAAAATAAGATAAAATAAGATAAACCTTAATTTGTCCCACAGTGGGGAAATCTCAATATCATAGTTGCACAAAAAAAGAAGAATTAAGAGCACTCAGGTTGCCCACATCAAACAGGATCTATTATTGATTTTTCCAAATTTTAGGAAAGAACCGCCCTCTCCACTTCTTGAACTAAACTCTCTGGTCTTATTGGACGAGCACGTATCACCAGAATGATTGACAGTTGAGAGGACCAATAGTCTTGATGATCCAAGTAGAACATCCTCCTACATACCTTTAATGATGAGAAAAGAAAACTTTATTCAGATTCAGATTCATTTTTGGCCATTTGCAGTAAAACACATAAATACAACAAGTACATAAATAAAACAAGATTAAAACAAGAGTTATTAGTCCCACAGTGGGGAAATTTCAATGTTGCAGCGCACATACAGGACAGTAGTAAGAGACACAGGGAGCAATAATAATAATAAACTCTGGAGGTATAAAGTCCCTTGGTTCAAGGCTAAGTCTCTAGTGGAGTCTAAACTGTAGTCAGCAGGAAGTATTTACAGATGTGTATATTGCACTTTAGCAGCAGAGAATATGACCGGAACAAACAATAGTAACAATAGCAACAGACTAGTGGATTTTCAGAACAGATGAATGGCACATGTATAGGCTCACGAGTCCTCCTTGTACAGTCTGACAGCAGGAGGAACGAAAGACCTGCGTGACATCTCATTCACACAGCGATGGTGGACCAGTCTGTCACTGAAGCTGCTCTCCAGGGCAGATAGAGTGTCCTGCAGGGGGCGACAGGCGTGGTCCACATAGATGTTTGCTAGGAGATAGTTCAGTTTTATGGCTATGGGAAAATGTATGTATTTCCCGCCAAATAAATAACATAGACATTTGTGGATAATAACTTTCAGTCTGTTGTTGCGTGTTTACCCCTGTTACCCATACCCCTGATACCCCTGACCCTACAGTGTGAGTGAGGGCAGGATGAGCGAGCCGCAGGAGCCAGTGCCGGAGGACCACCCTCCTCCCTACATCATCTTCGTGGTGGTGTTCTTCTTCTTCGTCACGGGGCTGTGTGGCTTCCTCATCTGCCACCTGCTCAAACAGAAGGGCTACAGCTGCCACATGAAGGAGGACGAGGTTGAGGAGCAGGACCAGCTACAGGGAGAGGACGGTGAGGGGGGGTCTCTCAGCCTTTGCTCTCTCTCTGGTCTCTCTCTGGTCTCTCTCTCTGGTCTCTCTTTGGTCACTAGTCTCTCTCTTTTGTCTCTCTCTCTAGTCTCTCTCTCTGGTGTCCCTCTGGTCTCGCTCTCTAGTCTCTCTCTGGTCTCTCTCTGGTCTCTCTCTGGTTCCGCTCTGGTCTCTCTCTGGTCTCTCTCTCTGGTTTCTTTCTGGTCTCTCTCTGGTCTCTCTCTGGTCTCTCTCTAGTCTCTCTCTGGTCTCTCTCTGGTCTCTCTCTTGTCCCTCTCTGGTCTTTCTCTGGTCTCTCTCTAGTCTCTCTCTGGTCTCTCTCTCTGTGAGGTCACAGTTGAAAATGGAAGCCTAAAGCCCTTTTGTTCAGGGGTTAGAGTGTTTTATGTTCTTATTGTAATATGTATATACAAATACAATACAATTTCTTCTTGTATAGCCCTAAATCACAACAGTCATCTCAGAGGACTTAACAAAACCAGTGAAATCACCAACACAGATCAGAGAATCAACAGTTAAGACACAAAAAGAATATAGAACACATGTTGATAAAAAGTCCATACATGTTGTAGAATGTTAAAGTGTCCTGGATCACCACAGTCCTTCTAGTTAGACACTAACTGTCCAACAGAGCCTCCTGCATCAGAGAAAAAAACTCTAAAACCCAGTGGGAAAAAAGTGAGAAACCTCGGGGAGACCCACATATGGAGAAAGGGATCTGCTCCACACGGACGGACGGGCTAAGGATCCAGGACCTAAGCTAAAGAATATATGTCTGGTTTTTTAACGTAAGACGTAAGATCTATGTTTATTATGACGGATTAAATAAACCACTACTACTAGTACTAATATGAAAGTTACCGGTAGAACTTTTGGCCCGTCAGTCCCTCAGGTTTTTACTATTTGTCTCTCTCTCTCAGTGGCTTACCAGAGGTTTTTCACTTTTTCCCACTGGGTTTTTAAAGCTGCAAGCGGTGATAAAGCCCCATCTGCCCATCACAAACACTGCACTCCTAATGTTTGGTTCTGCCTTTTCTAGAGGACGATGATGAAAACCAGGACACAGTGGAGCAGATCCTCAAATGCATCATCGAAAACGAAGGTAAGAGAAACAGAAAGGACTTGTTTTTGTTGCGTGATCTATTTCATGCATAGTTTGATGTATTTTGTCTTGTTCCCGCACCTTCAGCCAACATGGAGGCCTTCAACGAGATGGTGGGAAACCGCAGCGTGTGTGTGCGCCACGACCCGAGGTAAAGTTAGAAAATATGGATGTATAAGTATGTCATTAAATTACAGACAATACTGACCATAAAGTACAGGGCAATACACTCAATAGTTAAAATGTAAATTACAATATTGATTGCTTGATATGGATTGGTGGATAATGAATGGTGTTAGAAGTCCTCTCGCTCTTATAAAGATCCATGGTCCCGATATTTGTCTATTTCACAACATTCCGTAACATGTAACAACTGTCAACAACATTTATGGACATTGGTCATCCGCCTCTTATGGACCAAAGGCTCGTTTTTTAATTGTTGCATTTCCTGTGTCTGTTTGATTCTCTGATCTGTGTTGGAAAATGGACATTCCGTTGTAATTTAGGGCTGTACAAAAATAAATTGAATTGAATTTCAATGGCACCTCGATATGAAAGAGATTTTTGCATATCGTTAAAACAACACTTGAATTTATACAAGAAGGCTGTTGTATTTGTTCATGTAATAATTGGAAGAAAAAAGACGTAAGCAGGTTGTTATGAACGAATGGATAAGTCATTAAACAACAGATGCAAGACGCGACATACTCAATAGACTCAGGTTGCCAGATATGCAGACGAATCCAGCTGGGACCATAACAGCTGAATAGACAAGAGTTTTGTCAACAACAAATCTATAACCAACACCTTTTTCACAAAGATAGAAATCCTGGTTTTATTCCTTATTTTGTCGTTAATGATTTGAGAATCATAACGAGACCTTTTTTCGTTCTGCCCCACATGGTACTTTACCAGTGAGATTAGCTCTACGCGGTGAGTTCTGGCTCCTGGATCACGGACTTTCTGATTGGTGAAACGGTGGAGAGCGGGACATTGAAATGAAAACAATAACAAGATTTAGGGGCTGGAAAAGAAATGTGGAAATCCAAATACCTCTGAACTACTGTTTTCAGTTAAAGAAGTATTGGAAAAGAGCAGGTTTTATGTCATCATTACCCTTTAATGAAAATCTTACCTATTGCTACTTTAAAATGCAAATTTAAATAAATATATCCTTGAACCTTGATAGAGGGAGATGTTTGCATATCTTTTAGAAGGTTTAACATTTGTCCATGTAATAGTTGGATGATAAGAGACATATTCAGGTTGTCATCACATGTTTCCTGTGTTTGTCAGGCTGCGTAAGGAGTCAATCGGCGGCGTTCCTCTGCACATGCACACGGTCCACGCGGGCTCGGACCTCCACAACACGTGCCACCTGTGCGCCCAGAGCCGGAACAAGAGGAGCCAGCGCAGGGGCAGCCGGACCCCCCGCCTGCGAGCCCGACCAGGGGAGCAGACGGTCTTCTCTGTGGGCAGGTAACCAGACTCTGTCCCGAACCAACAAAGCTCTGTACGCAATAAAGGGTAGCATTACATCATGGCTGTCAAAGGCCTGGGCGCCAGATCCAGCCCGCAAGGCAAGTTTTAGTGGCCCCTAAAATTATTTTGTATTATTATTAACTAGCAGCATTGATGGTAATGTGTGACCAAGGCAGTTTATACATCACCTATTTTCTCAGGAAAACAACCAAATGTAATGTATTCTAACATTTTAACCCAATAACACATCATTAGAAGTTCAATAGTTCAATATACAATGTTTTTACTTTATATTTGATCCAGTTTTGTTCAATCTAAACAATAATCTAAAAAATAAACCAGAAAATAACAGTGAAACTCGTGTCACATTAAAGCTGCACTAACTGACTTTATTTTTGTATTAATTACAAAAATTCAATCCATATCCATGCAATGCATTGGGAGTGACGTCCTTTTGAAGAAAAGGGGTAGTGGGTAGTGGGGGGCCAAAGCTCCGTGAGTGCAGGGAAGGCGAGCCGAAAGAGCGAGGCCAGTGCTCACATTCAAAAATGTCACAAAGTGAGTTAGTCAGCTTTAAAGTCATGTTAAAATACCTTCATAATGTAAAAAACTATTATAAGAAAAGGAAATATCTTCTATTGTTTCGACCCCCAACCAGTTCCTTTTTTTTTATCGGCCCCTGACCAAAATGAGTTTGACACCTTGCATTACATTGTGCAAAAGTCCCTCAGCAGCGTCACACCTGAGAGTTTACAGACAGACATAAAACACTTCAGAGCAGCAGTAGTTTATCACCACTGTGTGTGGAGTGAATGAATCATGACGTGTGAAGTGTCTTTGAGCGTCCAAAAGCATTATCCAACAGTGGATCTCTGATAATCTCTCCTCTTTCTGTGCTGCACTTAAGGAGATCTTTTCTCCCTGCTGCTGTCAACTTCTACAATGAACACTGTTTATGACAGGGTTTCTCCTTAGTTACATGTTCTAATTATATAAAATACTTTTTCTAGAAGTTTAATGATTCAGAAAACTCACAATTCAATTTGGACCTGTCATGGTGTGGATTTTATTTTTGTACTTTGGTTTTATTTTGACATTGTTTCTCTGTGGTGTGGTTTGGTTTTGATTATGAATTCCTGTGCTGTTTCCCCTGTCTTTATTTTCTGCCCCGCCCTGATGTGTTTCACCTGTGTCCTTGTCTATATGTACCCTGTGCTCCTCTCCACATGTTGCTGGTCCATTGTGTTGTTCATGTCTTTGTCTGTTCTTTTCTGCCCTGTTGCTTGTGTTTTTGGATTTTTGAGTTTTAACCTGGACTTTTATTTTGTTATCATTGAATAATTATTTTTTGGCATTCCTGCATTTTGAGTCCTCCATCATCTCATCAAATGACAGGACCCACAATATAATTAACATTAAAAAAACAAAAAAAAGATAAGATAAGAGATCCTTTATTCGTCCCACAGTGGGGAAATGTCGATGTTGCAGTGCACAGACAGGACAGTAGTTAGAGCACACAGGGAGCACACAAAATATACAAAATACAAAATAAGTAGTAGCTATGTTCTTACCTAGCTGTAAAGGCTGTAAACGCTTCAATACCAGTCAAAAAAATATATATGTGAAAGAAAAAATACATTTATTAATATTAATGTATTATTATACTATCAGGGCGTTTTTAGGGTTGTTTAGATCAGCTTTATAGATAGAGATTTACAGATTGATTGATGTCTAGGAATATGAAATATGAATCAGGAACGTCCAATGTGGAAGACCTAATGTTACATCGTTTTTACTTTGACGTGCAGTATGTATCTGCTTCTGATGGGCATGTGAACTTCCCCTTGAAAGAGTTAACCAAACATTTTAAGTTATGTCTAAGTTGGGGGACATGATGACAAACTGTATCTTTACGTTTCGCTCTAGATTCCGAGTCACACACAACGACAAGAAGAACCCTGAAGGCGGCGGCAGAGTCCCGGACGTGTTGGTGGGTTCTGGGGAGGGTCTGAACCAATCCCAAGACAGCTACGAGCGCAGAGACGGCGGCTACAACCTGCGCAACATGTTCAAAGACCCTCGCCCGCCTCCCGACGGCGGCCTGGCTCCGAACGCCGGCAAGAGACGCAGAAGCCTGACCTTGTTCGGGTTGCGGCGAGGCAGCGACCCCACCGGAGTCAAGGTGGTCAGCTCCGGAAGAGAAGGGGTGAAGTTCATACCACAGCCGATCGTGTTGGAGGAACCTCAAACAGAGACCGGGGAAAACGATGGTAGCAAAGATGACCAATCACAGAAAGCCTCGGATCATGTAGAAGTGAAAATGTCTGCTTCTGAAGTGATCAAAACCAAACCGGCAAATTCTACTGTTGTGGAATTTTCAGCAAGGCAAGGAGCGAAAGATGTACCAGACGCTTTAGGGCCTTCCCGAAACTCAACCGTGTCTATCGCTGAAGTCTCTGCGATCAAAACCCAAGCCACAAACTCTATAGCCGTGGAAAGTTTGACGCAAGGAATGAAAGACCCTGCTTCTGTCTTAATGTCTGCCCCAATCCCTGGTCCCTTCAAATCTCCCAAACCAACGGAAACCACGGAAATGGATAGCCAACAAGAAGCGCCACTAAGTCCTGGACCCTTGCAAACCTCCACTCCCATATCCCCATTACCTAAAGGCGAAGGAATCAACCCGTTTTCCAATTTTTCTGTAGATATTCCCAGCGCGCCAACGCCTCCCGATCCTTGCACCAGTCCAGTCCCAGATATGGACTCGTTCGAAAGCCCGGTGCTAATAAGTTTGGGTTCGTCGCCTCATTTGTCAACAAGAACTTCACCGTTAGCCATCACGCCAAGTTCAATAATTAGCGCGAAAGCTTCTGCACAACTCTTGTCAAGCCCCAAAGCCTCTTCAAGTCGCCCGAGCAATTCAGATCTGAGAAAAGGGTCTTTGGAGAAAAGTGCGTTGTCTTTGCAGTCATCGTCCCAGTCTGAAAGCTTGCAAGATGAGGCTTCATGTCAAGAACCTAGCTATAGAGTTTCTGATTTGTCCTCGAGTGAAACCAAGCTAGAAGATTCCACTAGCCAGCAAGTAGAGAAACCTGAGTTGTCCAACCTTGGAATTTTGGATGACGGAAAGAATTCTCCAAGTTTGTCTCGTTCTTCTTCGATGGGAGGCAGAGTAGGCAGCGTGACCATCGTGAAAGCTAGCCCAGATAGCAAGAGGGAGTTTTCTGTGGTCACGATGGCGGAGGATCAGGACGTGGCGTCAACGGCAGCGGTAGAAGCAGAAAAGGAAGGGGGAGAGGAGGTGAGGTGGAAGCTAGGAGATGACGAGGAGATCAGGGCAGGCGAAGAACCAGCCGAAGAAGCTAAAAACGCAGCCTTAAAGGACTGAAGGACTGTTTGATCAATGCAAAAGCTCAAAGACGCAATACAAGACTGCAGTTCCAAAAGGCATAAAAGACATTGCTTTTTTCGAAACGTGTAATTGGCTGATTATATGTTGGGTTTCTTTTGTTCCAGTATAATTGGTTCTGGGCTGAAGTTAAATGTCTTTCAAGGGAAAACCATTGCAATAAAGTGCACACACACAGCTATATTTTCAAGATATGACCAAATCCATTCAAAACATCAGCCTTTTGCAGAATACTTTCATCATATTTTGGCATTTTTTTGTATTATTTATGTCCTTAAAGGGACTGTATGTAATATGCACTCTTGGTGGTCTAATAAAGGCATTCCAATCACACTTTTGTTGCCAGAATCTTCCTCCTGTGACACTTTCACTGGTCTCTCTCTGGTCTCTCCCTAGTCACCCTCTGGTCTTTCACTGGTCTCCCTCTGGTGTCACTCTTTCTCGCTGTCTCTCTGGTCTCTTTCTAGTCTCACTTTCTGGTCTCTCACTGATCTCTTTCTGGTCTCTCTCTCTATTTGAGTTATTAATTTATCAGTGTTGTTGATGCTCTAAGCTTCATTTTGTGGCTCTCTTTGACACAATATACTTAATCTTATCTTTATATCTTTATCATTATAATACGTTTAAAAAGCTAAAGAGAGGCTTCTCTCTCTACTCTTTGTCTCCCTCTTGCGGTTAAACTGTGAATAGCCGCTGGCCCACATTAACAAAGCCGCTTGTCAAATATAGACCGTAGAAGTCGTTATAATGTAATATTCACACATTTCACCTTGTTTTTGAAAGGTTTAGCGGTATATTTAACTGCTATAGCTTCACAATCACGTTTACACCACATTTTTACATTTCTCCCAACACCGACGTAATATGTCTCTCTGGCCACTGGCCGCGATTACATGTGATTGTTTTTTTTTTTTTTTTTTTTGCTCTGTTTTTGTTGACGTCACCTTAAAAAAAATGACGTTGCTAACGCGGAAGTGTCCAAAAACAGAGGCGCGATAAACACGATCTGCCCCCGTACCCGTGTATCCGTGGCGGTAATGCGCTAAAAAGTGGTCATCAACCGCCGAAAAAACCCAAAAAGAAGAAGAAGACCCGTGCATCCGCTATACCGGTGTGCCCAGCCTCTGCCCCAGCCTCTGCCCCAGCCTCTGCCCCCAGCCTCTGCCCCCAGCCTCTGCCCCCAGCCTCTGCCCCCAGCCTCTGCCCCCAGCCTCTTGCCCCCAGCCTCTGCCCCCAGCCTCTGCCCCCAGCCTCTGCAGTGTGTGCCCGGTGTGCTGAAAATGGTCCAGGAGTTCCATGTCCTCCGCTGCTACTCCTGCCAAGTCTTCCAGGTCCAACAGGTCTGAATATCTGAAATAGTCCCGTCTGCACCAGCTCTGACTCTACTCTATTTAACTCTACTATACATGTTTGCATCATAGCATGTGATACTATTGTACATGTTAGCATGAGGCTCTTGACTGAAAGTGACAGAAGAAACATGTGATCCCCTAATAGTTTCTGAATGGATGGTGCCTAAAGTAAACCATGTGTGTACCATGTGTGTCTGCTGCAGGTGAAGAAGGTGAACAAATGGATCTGTAAGATGTGTGGGCAGAAGCAGTCGGTGGTGAAGGTGAGAACAGAGAGGGTCCTCTGTAACAAGCATAGACTGTAAATATTAACGGACGAAGTCTATCTCCGCCGTTCAAACTAATGTACTATCACTTTTGCCTTCTGTGGACTTTTTCAAAATGGCCGCGGGGCAGGAAAATGTGAAAAAATGCATTTGTACACGCGTTTGCCGACAAGAGCCCCATTCATTTAACAAGTGCATTCAAAAGTCCACAGCGGCCAAACTAGGCTGGTCCAAAACACACACTCCCCTTAGCATCACAGAGGGTGACTAGAGACCGGTGTGACACGTCTGTAACATTTACAGTCTATGATCGACACGTGACTGGAATGTGGTGCTTTTGATCTTTTCAGGAGTTTGGCCGAGGCTCCGGGGCCGACTGCAGACGCCACGTTCAGAAACTCAACGCTGCCAGAGGAGCCATAATGGAGGAGCACAGGGCCCACCCGGTCTCTGAAGATCACAGGTACATGTCACACTCTGGTCTCAGGATCACAGGTACATGTCACACTCTGGTCTCAAGATCACAGGTACATGTCACACTCTGGTCTCAAGATCACAGGTACATGTCACACTCTGGTCTCAGGATCACAGGTACATGTCACACTCTGGTCTCAAGATCACAGGTACATGTCACACTCTGGTCTCAGGATCACAGGTACATGTCACACTCTGGTCTCAAGATCACAGGTACATGTCACACTCTGGTCTCAGGATCACAGGTACATGTCACACTCTGGTCTCAGGATCACAGGTACATGTCACACTCTGGTCTCAGGATCACAGGTACATGTCCACACTCTGGTCTCAGGATCACAGGTACATGTCCACACTCTGGTCTCAGGATCACAGGTACATGTCACACCTGGTCTCAGGATCACAGGTACATGTCCACACTCTGGTCTCGGGATCACAGGTACATGTCCACACTCTGGTCTCAGGATCACAGGTACATGTCACACTCTGGTCTCAGGATCACAGGTACATGTCACACTCTGGTCTCAGGATCACAGGTACATGTCCACACTCTGGTCTCAGGATCACAGGTACATGTCACACTCTGGTCTCAGGATCACAGGTACATGTCACACTCTGGTCTCAGGATCACAGGTACATGTCACACTCTGGTCTCAGGATCACAGGTACATGTCACACTCTGGTCTCAGGATCACAGGTACATGTCACACTCTGGTCTCAAGATCACAGGTACATGTCCACACTCTGGTCTCAGGATCACAGGTACATGTCACACTCTGGTCTCAGGATCACAGGTACATGTCCACACTCTGGTCTCGGGATCACAGGTACATGTCCACACTCTGGTCTCAGGATCACAGGTACATGTCACACTCTGGTCTCAGGATCACAGGTACATGTCACACTCTGGTCTCAGGATCACAGGTACATGTCCACACTCTGGTCTCAGGATCACAGGTACATGTCACACTCTGGTCTCAGGATCACAGGTACATGTCACACTCTGGTCTCAGGATCACAGGTACATGTCACACTCTGGTCTCAGGATCACAGGTACATGTCACACTCTGGTCTCAGGATCACAGGTACATGTCACACTCTGGTCTCTAGGATCATATTTTCCCAACGTCCACTCATCCTGGTCTTGGTCTGGGCCCCGGATCTGGTCTCCTCCTGGTCTTGAGTTTTCCAATATTGTTTTTCAGGGATGAAGAGTTTGATGAAGAGGAGCAGCTGTCGCACGAATCAGTAAGATTCTGAAAGAGTGAGACACAAGGAGTCATCAGTATTACAGTAATAATAATAATAAATACCTTAGACAGATATATAATTATACAGATGGATAGACAGAGTCTGCTTGGGTCGGTCCATTTTCACTGCTCTGGTTCAGAGTGAAATTCCTCCAGTGGGGCTCCTTTTTTCAGTCTCCAAAATACTACAAAGATTCAAAAGTGGATTTGATCTTAAAGCTCGAGTGATATTTGTCTGTTGTTTGTGTGTTGCAGGTGAGTCGCTGGGACAAGTACCGATCTGCCCCATGTGAGGAGGCGGAGCTTACACCTCAGGGGGCGGAGCCAGATGACCAGGAGTCAGTGGTGCTGGACAGGAACCTGTTGAGGTACGTTCAGATGTGATTGGGAAGTCTGCTTTTGAAAAGGTTCGTCACAGAACACGGACCAGACCGTGTTCCGTGTTCTATGACACGGCCCGCTCCCTTTGGAACAAAGGCCGCTTTGCTTTTCTACTTTTATAAGTTTATGAGATGGTACAGTCCTCTCTCCCCCGTTTGGGAAGCGTGACGTCTCTTCTTGTCTCAGCGAGACACAATTCATTACCGTCCTGGGTCTACAGCCTCAATCCTGGATCCCGTACAGCCGCAGTCCTGGTTCTACAGCCTCAGTCCTGGTTCTACAGCCGCAGTCCTGGGTCTTCAGTCTCAGTCCTGGGTCTACAGCCGCAGTCCTGGATCCCGTACAGCCGCAGTCCTGGGTCTACAGCCTCGGTCCTGGGTCTACAGCTTCGGTCCTGGGTCTACAGCCTCGGTCCTGGGTCTACAGCCTCGGTCCTGGGTCTACAGCCTCGGTCCTGGGTCTACAGCCTCGGTCCTGGGTCTACAGCCTCGGTCCTGGGTCTACAGCCTCGGTCCTGGGTCTACAGCCTCGGTCCTGGGTCTACAACCTCGGTCCTGGGTCTACAGCCTCGGTCCTGGGTCTACAGCCTCAGTCCTGGGTCTACAGCCTCAGTCTTGGGTCTACAGCCTAGGTCCTGGGTCTACAGCCTCAGTCTGCTGTTTTGATTTAGGGCAATACAAAAAGTATATTGAACTGGAAAATGTCTACATTTGACCAAAACATTGGGTTCTTTGATTTAAAAATACCTTTTTATGCATTTCATTTTCAATCTGCAGTCATTATAGCATGAATGTTTAAGTCTGTGTCTGTTCTCATTAGACGAGCTCTAACATGAGTCTAACAAACGTCCGGGTCCTGTTTCAGAGATCAGAGCAGCTCCAGGAAGAGGAGGAGGCCCAGTGTCCCGGTGAGTCTGCTGCCGTCTGCGCCAATACTTTCACTAATGTGCTGTTTACACGGAGACGCTGCCACAGTAAAACAGTAGAGTTTATATCGGTTTGGCCTTTCGTTTCCATGGAGACGGTGTTTCACGTGATAAGTGAGAAACAGTCTCCAGTGAAACAGAACAGATACTCTTCACGGCGGGGGCTGTTTCGAGAAGTGTAAAGAAAAAGGTGTGAATTCTCCTCCTGCTATGACCTCAGCACTTCCCCCATGCGCAGCAGCCGAGAACAAACGTAAACAACAATTAGCGGCGGGTCAACAAACGCTAACGTGTGCTTCGAGCGTGACAGTGTCCATTTTCTCGGCTTCCGTTAAATGCAGAATGATGTTGGTTCTTTCCCATCTTTGTGGAGGCCTTTGAGGAGGAGGTGATTATACTGCTGGGGGTCACAAGTGTTGTAAAGTTCCACTGCCCCCTTCTGGCCGGGCGCTAGAACTACATTGTTTTTGGACATTGTGTAGACGCTGTGCACGTCGAAAACAGAGCCTGGTCGTTTTAGCTAATTACTTTACAGCGTCTCCGTGTAAAGAGGGACTAACACGAGGGTTGAAGACCAACTTAATTTCTCCTTTTCAATCAGCAGCATGTGTCCGAGGACCATGAGCGTCAGAGTCCTCCTGCAGCCTCAAGGATCAGAGCGAGCCCGATCAGAGGGAGTCCACCCAGAGCTGTGTCCAAGTGGAGCAGCTTCTTAAACACTACACAAACCACTGCTTCTGGAGCCTCCACCTCCATTATGTTCCAGAGCGAAGAGGACTTTGATCTGGACCTGAACTGGACCTGAACTGGACCTGAACTAGACCTGTACTGGACCTGAACTGTCTGGTATCTACACACTAGTACAGAATCAATATTCAGATACTGCTTTGACATTTGTACATTTGTGAACCTTTTCCTCGATCCCCAGGAAAAGGTTGAGATGGGTTTGTTCTGACGTATATCTCTGGAGAAGCAGACAAGTGGACGTGACTCAGCTGAGAGGTTTAGTTTAAGTGGAAATCACTTTTGGAGGTGGTACAACAAAGGTTCTGTGGAAATGTTCTTCCCCGGCCCAGACTTTGGGCTAGCTCCTCTGGCAGCCTCTTCAGTCCTGGTTCTACAGCCCGAGTCCGACAGTGGTCATCCCGCTCCCTTGTTTTACAGGGCAATTCAAAAATAAATGTAATTAAATTGGAATAGTTCAGGTTTAAGGCACATAAGGAACATTCTTATGTGCCTTAAACTAAGAAAGTAGTTTGTTGAAATGAGTTAAACGGTAGATGAGTCAAAAACATGAGTTTGGAGGAAATGCAGCAGCAGCAGTCGGACGTGTTTGGTCCTTTCTGAGGTTTGTTTTTGTCAAAGTGAGAGCTGCTGTCGGTGACCATGACATTTGAATGCATTTCAGACTTTAGCTTCAGGACAATTCTGCTTTTCTTTCTGCTTGTATGTTCACAGTATGAGTTCGCTCCTTCATGACCCACCACCTCCAGAAAGTGACATCACAATCAATCGTAAACATGAAAAGTCTGTTTATTAGAAAAAGTATTAATTTTTTTGTCCATTAAATGTCATCCTAAATTAAAGTAATTTCCACTTTCATGTCTATTGTTGGGCTGAAGGTCTTACCACACCATCATACTCATTTCATTTGGATTCTGAAGTCTGGATTTTGCTCCATTGAGCTCCGTTAACAGGGTAACTACTTTTGCAGATGGAAATGATTGGATAATTTACTGGGCATAAAGCATTTAGCCTAGATTTAGCCATTTCCTTTGTAACTCGCTCGTTTTGAGTAGAGCCACAACATCTTTGCATCAATGACATTTACTAAATATTCCTCTTGCTCTGACATTTTAATATTTGGAGCTGAACCATGACAGATTACTATCACATTCGCGCCAAACTACAACCAGCAAAAGGCATCGAAACATCAAACACGCATTTCTCAAATATCTGTAAATTTACTAGCAAGCAGTTTTTCATTCTTTTTTTAAATCTGCATTCTCACCTGTAAACACCATAGACTGTAAATATTGTAAACACACTGGACTGGACTCTAATGTAGGGCACACTTTTATGTTACGTACTTAGATTCTGTTCAATTTATAACAAAAACAGCAAATTTGGCGCAATCTCTTGACGTCACCGACACTTCCCTACAACACCTGCCTCCTCCGCTCTGATTGGTCGAAGGGGATTCAACCGAGGAAACTGCAGCCACTAGGATCAGACCCAGACGTACATGTAGGAAATGATAAAGGACCAGAGTTTACACATGGCTTAGACTGAAGAGAAGTTTGACAAATGAGAAAATCATCAAAATCAGATCTTTATTCAGTGAACGAAAACTTTACATCCAAAACTGGCGACTGTCTGCATTTAATAAATACTGTCAAACTTTAGTAAGAGCCACTTTAGTGACACATGGTCCAGCGGCCGATCATCAACTGAATTCTGAGCTTTAATATAAAGTATGACATGGTTTTATAGGTTCATATCTGATGTGGCTGAAGTTGGCTGAATGTTTCTGATACATTGTTTCCTTCAAAGTATTTTAACCAGTTTTAGACTTTTCTATTTGAATGAGACTGACAGAAAAGTGTAATGTTTCAAACCCCACTTTTATTATTGCACTTGTTCATAAATAAGACGTTCAGTTAAGGCCCCATGTCCACAGCTCTACATGGTCTTACTCTACATGGTCTTACTCTACATGGTCCTACTCTACATGGTCCTACTCTACCCTGACTTCCACAGCTTTACATGTTCGGAGTTGGGTAAAGTAGGGTAGAGTACAGCAAGATAGAGTAGAGTTGAGTAGGGCTGGGCTGGTGGAAACAGGTTTGGTCTCATGTCAACAGTAGAACATGTCAAGTCTTAAAATAGATTTGGAACAATTACTCTGAACATAAATATTTTATTGTGGAGATGCAGAGTTAAAGGAACTCCGCATCTGAGGTGATGTCACACTAAAGCCCCGTTTCCACCAGCCCTACCCTACCCTACCCTCTACACTTGCACACATAGGGCCGAGTAGGAATGGTGGAAAGTACTTAGGAATTGTGCCTTATTGAAACAAATGTGTTTCATTGTTTGCTCATTAGGTCCAGTTTTTGTCCAGTATAAATATGATGTCGCAGGATTAGTCGATGGTTGTGGGTCGCGGGGCGCTCATAGATGTAGGGGGTGGTAGTGTCCTTTGGGGAGCCTCTTTCTGCAGATGGGGCAGCTGTGGCTTTGGCTCAGAGAGTCTCGTAAACACACACTGCAGAAGATGTGTCCGCAGCGGGTGGAGACCAGCAGCCGACCGCTGTCCACGATCTGCAGGAGACACCACATTATGAGACGCTTGATGAGACCAAGGCTGCAGTTTGGGTCATTCTCAAAACGTAAAATGTTTGAACTATATTCACAGCTTTCCAGCAGCTACATTTTTACTAAACAATTGTCTCCAGCTACAACTCAGACTAAACTGAAATGTTATTCTTTGGACTCAGTGTCCTCTAGCCTGGTCGTACCACACCATAGTACAAATTACATTTCATCCTAAGGTCTGGAGGTGCTCCATTGAGCTCCGTTTACAGATAGGAGGGGTTAACTCCTTTTGCAGATTGAAACGATTGGATCTGAGTTTACCGTGACGTATGTAATGCGCCCGAGTCTGTCATTAGCATTAAGCCTAGCCATCTCCTTTGTCGCTAACTGAGCCCATGGGGAGTAGCGCCACAATCTTTACCAGCGATTACATTTGCTAAACATTCCTCTTGCTCCTGCTTCAATTTCTTTATAGAACCAGACCAGATTACTTTACTATCGCATTCTTCACCACTGCCAAACCACAACCTGCCCGTTCGGCGCAAACTCTTGACGTTACCGGCACCGACCTATCGCTCAGGTGATCCCCTAGCTCGCTGACTGATCGGTCAAAATTCAGCCGATTGTAATTGCTAAGACGGGGACTAGGCCCAGACCGTTACATGCATTGAAATGATGATTGAGCGGAGTGTACGGATGGCTAAGGCCAGGCTAAGTCTCCTCCAGTCTCTCACCAACTCTGACTTTTAACAGCCACATCCTATCAGTAACTTTTTCCATCGGAAAAACATGGAGATTCACAAGTACAGTGTCTGAATCAGACATCTGTGTCTCCGGTGTCAGGTTGGAAAAGTTGCTCACTGGTCTCTGGACCAGCTGCAGTAAAGTCCTGGTTCAGGGGACCGTGTGGGGACTGTACCTCAAAGTAGGAGTCCATGCAGACGGGACAGCTGATGTGGACGCCAGACGTCCTGTGGACAGAGGACAGAGTGAGGTGTGTGTGTCTGTGGAAGGAGGCCAGAGTGAGGTGTCTGTGTGCGTCTGTTTACCGCGCCCTCCTGTGTGCATGTGTGGGTCTTTTTCTTCTGTGTGTACCGCTCCCTGATGTGTGTGTGTGTACCTCTCTCTTGTGTGTGTGTGTAAAGCGAAAAAAGGCGCACTTTATTAATCCCTGTAGGGCAATTCAATCCTCTGCATTTGAACCATCCTGATGCCGCTAAGGCTTATGTCAGGAGCAGTGGTCGCCATAGTAACAGCGCCCGGGAACCCATCTCCAGATGTTGCTGTGGAGTGGTCAGGACCAGAGCTGGAGGATTTAACCTAGTGAGCATGTTTTTAGTGGTAAGGGAAACTGGAGCACACGGAGGAAACCTACGCAGGCACGGGGAGAACATGCAAACTCCCCTCAGAAAGACCGGGATTCGAACCCAGGACTTTCTTGCTGAGATGCGAGAGTGCTCAGCCATCGTGCTGCCCAGGGAGAGGTGTGTGTGTGTGTGTACCTCTCTCGTGTGTGTACATGTGTGTGTGTGTGTGTGTGTGTGTACCGTTCCCTCCTGTGTGTGTGTACCTCTCTCTCCTGTGGATAGAGGCTGAGGCCCCTGAGGTCCCAGTCTCGATGACAGCTGCCTCCTCCTCGTCGCTGCTGACCACGTAACTCGGCTGATCTGGAACATTTATTTCATATTACTCAACACAACAACAAACTTGATAATAAAAAATAATTCAACTCGAACACATTTTTACAGGAGTAACTAATGCCACTGAAGTCAACGCGCTCATGTCAGAAGCTTTTACCCACAAACCAACAGTGACGACCACCGAGGGCTGAGTCCATTCGGGTATCGTGATGGATCTGAAACCCACAGGAGCTGGGGCCAGTGTTCTGAACAGTCATGTTTGCAGCTGAATAAAGTAACCAACCAAACCAAATCAAGTCCATGTGTGTTTGAACAGCCTTCCATCACAACAGCATCAGAGGCTCAAACCGTTCAAACATGGCTTCCAGCAGCACTCTGGCCAATCACTGTCGGTTAGAACACTTCAGAACCAGCTCGGCCTGGATAGAACCAGGACCCAGAGGGACTAACAAGTATGTGGTACCAGTAAAACAGGGTTAGGGCGGGTGGAAATAGGGCTGAAATGTGCGTTGAATTCACTTGTTTCACCTTTTTCTCGCCGGTCTCGACGTGTCCTCGCTCTGGAAGGTTCGGAGGAGAGACTCGGGAGGAAAGACGGGAGCGAAAGGGACTCTCCTTCATCCAGGACCTGGAGGGAGAGGTCGGTGAGAGACATTTAGGTCTAAAAGCTTTATATTGTATTTACCTAAACACAGTGTACGCACCAGGACTGTGTCGTTGGTGAGGTCCACGACAGCCGCAGGGTCAGAGGTCGATGCTGTCAGATCCACCACGTCTGAACCAGAACTGGGACCAGAACTGGGACCAGGACTGGGACCAGGACTGGGACCAGGGCTGAAACCGGGAGTGTGGCCGGGACTGAGACCAGGACTGAGAACGGGACTAGGACCAGGACTAGGACCAGGACTAAGACCGGAACTAAGACCAGGACTAAGATTGGAACTAAGACCAGGACTAGGACAGGAACTAAGACCGGAACTAAGACCGGAACTAAGACCGGAACTAGGACCGGAACTAAGACCGGAACTAGGACCGGAACTAAGACCGGAACTAGGACCGGAACTAAGACCGGAACTTGGACCAGGACTCAGGCTGGGACTTGGACCAGGACTCAGGCTAGGACTTGGACCAGGACTCAGGCTGGGACTTGGACCAGGACTCAGGCTGGGACCAAGACCAGGACCGGGCGATGAGCTGGGGTCAGGCCTGGTGTGTGGACTCGCAGCAGGATACAGCAAAGGAAAACCTGGACCATCTGCAGACACAGACACAAACACCATTTGGACAAACATTAGCCCTGTTTCCACCGGCTCAGCTCAGCTCAGATCTGCTCTGCACTGGCTGTTTCCATAACGCTTTAGTATCTGGAACCGTATCATAGCAACCTGCCTACAACAAACCAGAATCCGTAGAAATGTCTTGTGCTTATGACCGGGTGAAAAAAAATCTACAAAAGAAATAGTGCTCAGCCCAAATTGCATCATATTGTGTCTGTTACACTGTTGTGTCTCTGTGTGTCTCTCACACACTCACACATAAACACATACAGTTAACAGTCACCGTGACGACCCAGAGTCAGGAGTTTTGCAAAACTGGAGAAAGGACGTTAGGATGAAGCTTGTTGCAGTCTGAGGCCCTGTTTATACTGAGACGCTGCGCAGACGTTTCCAGGCTATTAACAGAAACGACCAAGCTCCTAATGCAAATTTCTCTGCGTTCACATGAGGTTGAAAAACGATGTAGTTCTAGCGCCCGGCCAGTAGTGGGCAGATAAACTTTACAACACGACACACGACCCCGAGCCCCGTGCCCAGCCCCCCTCTCGGCAGTGTACTCACTTCCTGTACCAGACCCTCAGAGAGTACCAACATCATTCTGCATTTTAACAGCAGCTGTGAAAATGGGAACTGAACCTAGAGCTTCGCGTGGTCTCGTTTGGACGAACGAAGGAGTAGAGTTATCCTCTGTCCCGCGCTGGAAGTCCACGTAGCTAGTTTGTGTGGGCGGCGCCATTATTGTTGATGATTGTTCTCCGCTACTGCGCATGTCCAAATTTACGTGCGGGGAGCAGCGCGGAGGCGGGGGTCAGAGCAGAGGGGGATTTCACACCTTTTCCCCTCTCGCGGGTGTGAAAAAGCTCCCTGCTGTGCAGCGTATCTGAGTTGTCCCACTCTGCAGGCTGGATCTGAACACTTACGTTTTCACCCCCCTGGAACACAGTCTTCGTATGAACGGTTGGTAGCAACCGACATCCAACTATACCGTTTTACTTCCACATTGTCTCCATGTAAACTCAGCCTGAGATCACAGCCACTATCTCTGCACACGCTCAGACCCACACCTCTCTCTTCTCCTTTCTCTTCCCCCTCCTCCCCTCTCTCTCTCCTCCCCCCTCCTCCCCTCTCTCTCCTCCCCCCTCCTGCTCCCCTCTCTCTCTTGAATGTGACGCATTGTTTATTTTTTGCTCATCTGTGGTCTGAAATGTATATTCTGTTTTTAAACTGTTTTTACATGTTGTAACAGAAAGAACTTTAATGTGAAGTGATTGACCCGTTTTAATAGAAAAATAAAGGTCTCTCTCTCCTATCTCTCATCTGTCTCCTCGCTCCCCCCCTGTTCTCCTCCCTGTTCTCCCCTCCTCTTCCAGACTGAACAGACTGACCCACAGATGTAACAGACTGTCACTACATTCTGGGAGTATATCGTGTTAGAACAAAGCTGACCCTCAGAGCTGAGGTCCAGGTCGATGGTGACCTCGGGACAGGTCTTGTGGAGGGTCCGGGTCAGGGCTGTGATCCGGGTCTGTGTGCCTGTGGCCTTCTCCGGGACTTGTCGGGACTTGGGGCTGGCTCTAGACCTCGGGCTGGTTCTAGGCCGGGGTCTGGGTGGACTCAACGTGACCCGTCTTCTCGGCCGCACAGACTAAAAGCAGAGTAAGAGTCAGAGGTGGAGAGACAGCTCACATGAACAGGATCTTGAGAATATTGACTGGTATATATTCAAGTGAAATCATATAAATAAAACACAAAAATTAAGAGACAAGTAAAATGTTCAAACATGACCAACTTCAGATTCTGAAAAAGCGGTGGAAAGTTCTGCTCATAACAATTAATATTTACAGGAAAATGGTTGAATGTCCCCCGTCTGTAACATTTAAAAATTGCAATGATAATATTGCAAATCACATTCTATCAATGTATTATGTTTCAAGTCTAGTCACAATAGATTCAAGAATGTATTTGTCTTTTGCAGTTAATCCACATTGGAAAAACTGTGCAAGACTCCCCTAGTGGGGAGTGAAAACATATTTACATGTCACATCTGGCATGGATAGAAACACTCAAGATTGTGCAAGAAGAAATGTCTCCTGTGTGAGATCAATAAAGTCTATCTTATCTTATCTTATATCCCATGTGCTGAGCATATGTTCAGTGGACACTCAAAGAACAAGTGCTTTGTTAGAAAAAAGTCCTAAAAATGAATGTGAGGTCATTCCTGTATGGATAAAATTACTATCCATGACGTAACAGACAAAAGCTTTGAGAACATTGAGAATGTATAATAATGTAAACTTTAATATTCTAAACTTTTACTGCTGACATTTATAATATTCCCTGTATTCATGAAAACTAGTAATGACTCTAATATGAATGAGGACCATAGCACTATAATAAATATCAAATCAATAAATTAGATCTATAACAAGGACTCACCGAGGTCTTCATCTCCGAAGCAGAACGCGCACGCGCACTGCGGTGTTTTGGGCGGTGTTATGCAGAGTGTGGTATCCCGGTCTAAATGGTTTATGGTTTCTTTTCAGTTTTAATTCCTGGTAGACAAGAGAAGAGCCGGATTAAAACCACAACAAATGAATTCATTAGTATTTATGAATTATGCACTTAATCCGCGTAGAGAACTAGTTTATGGCCAAATATTTACAGTTTACGAAGGAGTTAACTGACAGCACCTCACACATGCTAACAGTCAACGTTAGCAGCCTGGATTAAACATGCACCGAACCGCACGAAACCGGGGTTTGTGAGCCCGGGGAAGGTTCAGATGGAGCCCCGAGGGTGGTCCGTAAACAGGGTGATACATACCGAGGATAGAAAGAGAATAGAACGGGAAAGAACCAGGCGAACAGAGCTTCTCTCCGGGTTGGCACTGGCTTGGCTAGCGTTATGAGTGATGCAGAGCGCCCCCTGCTGGTCAGCGTGGATCACACACTTCACTTCAAACGGCCCTGAGAGATGTTTGGTGTCCAATATCCAGATTCATTTTATTTGACATTTTGCCATAAGACTACCTTGGAAGTCCCCAGTGTGCTCAAGACAAGTACACAAATAGAACAAGATTAAAAGTGCAGGAATAAAACAAACACAACGAAAACAAAACGAACGATATTGTCTGCCAGAGGGAAGAAGCTGGAACAAGAAGAGTCATTGAATGTTCTAGATAGATAGATATTTTACTGATCCCCGTAGGAGAAATGTATGTGTCCAGTAGCAGTTGATATTAAGCCGCAGAGGTGGGCCATCCGCTGTGGTGGAGCAGGACGGGTCACAGCAGCAGAGATGAAGAACTTACAGAACAGGCAGCTGTTGTCAATATCACCTGGTGGTCAGAATAGTGTGAAAATAAAATAGAGCGAGGATTTTAGAAGACGTTTTTTCTTTGTTACGTTGTTTTTTTACTTTGGGGGGGGGTCCCACGGAAGAGCTGAAGAAAGTATGTGTCCATCTGAGCCCCTACATGGCTACATGGCGCCAGAGATCAGGACACTTTGAGAAACCGATTATTAGAGACATATCGCATTAACGCTGCAATACCATGTCTCCTGTCCACACGCATTATAAACGTAATAATTTCACATCTATTCATTGTTGCAATTCATGGTGGTCAGCTACTGTAGCCATAGCTGCCGTGGGACAGACTATGGAGGCTGCTAACCTGAGTTGGCCTGTCTAACAACCACACTCAGTCTTAGTTCAGAATGACTAAGAGTCACCAAATACTGTATCTAATGTGTTATTATATATTTATTTATTTCATATTGGGCAGTTCTAATTCTCCATTAGTATCTTCACTTCAGCTCATGGGGATAACACTTCATTTGTAATGTTTAAAGTATTTTAAACCGACAGAATTCTTTCATTAGCAGAAAACAATATGATCACAGGTTGTAAACATCTTTATTGGTTTTAAATAAATGGTGAATGCAGTTGTCTGGTGTGTTTGTCATGTCTAGGTGTATTGTGGGCAATGTAGTTTCTGATGTACAGGTGTATTGTGGGTAATGTCGTTTCTGATGTACAGGTGTATTGTGGGTAATGTTGTTTCTGATGTACAGGTGTATTGTGGGTAGTGTCGTTTCTGTGGCCGAGGTCCGGTGACGAAGGGGGTTCAGGCTGAGCTTCTTCAGAAACTGCTTTAAAGCTCAGCCGTCATTAACGCCACCGAGACCCGTCCAAGACCCGTCCGAGACCCGCCCACAGCAGCAGAGCCCTGCGAAGAACAAGGCAAGTTTATTTATTTAACCCAGTCTAATACACGGAGCCTCACTGCTTTTCGTCGCAGCAGCTGGACTCAGTTTCTTCATAGAAATATATAAAATTATATTAAACTAATATTCAGTAAAAGTAATGATTTGGTCCAAACTCCTTCACGATAAAAAGTCACAGTAATAAACAAGGAACTATAAAACTTTCCACAAACGTTTGATTCTTGGTTTTCTTTGTTTTGATACAAACCTTTACTTTCTTTGTTCATGTTAAAGAATGTGAAGAGAATCTCTGTAGCTTAAGCACTGCTCTATCTTTAGTCCAAGTGCGGTACCTTTGGTCCAAGTCTAGGTGAAGACCGGCTCCTGGTTCATCTTTAGGTGGGAGTCGAGGATCTGAAACAGTTCCTGGACGTTCAGGACGTATCCCGACTGCAGCTTGGACCAGACAGGAACATCTGAGAGAACAGACACACCTCAGACTCAGCATGTCAGAATGTACAACGAACAACAAGGACTAAAACGCTGCCGACCTGACCTCACCCATCATGCATCTGTGCAATAATGTCAGAGCCTCACGCCGCTAACATGTTTACGAACTACAGGATTTATACTGGCTTCGTTATTATGCTAAAGTTAGAGATGCTATTCTATTTTAGTATAGAATTATTGTACGTAAATCGAGGGTTACGTATGTAACCACGGTTCTATGAATCCCGGATGACCGCCAGAGGGCGGTGCATAGCACTGAATGTTCCCTTCGCGCATGCGCAGTTCGAGTAATAATACCAAATGAGTCACACCTGTGACCCCCTGGGTGACACACCGGAGGTAATAAAGTCCAGCGTCATCCAGCACTCTGTTCCTGCAGAATCTTCTCGCGGATGCAAGGACCCTGAGTGACAGAGCGCCTCTGGCGGTCATCCGGGATTCATAGATCCGTGGTTACATACGTAACCCTCGTTCTATTTCATCCCTTCAGACCGCCAGAGGGCGGTGCATAGCACTGAATGACCTTATACCAGCTATGTCACGAAGGAACTTGACCACACACCTCACGGAGGAGAGCCAGAGGATTCCTGAAGGACCACGCCAAGAGGAGCCGGAGTGGCCACATTGATGTTATAGAATCTGGTGAACGTGCTCGGTGTAGCCCAAGACGCAGCAGCACAAATAGTTCCCAACGGCACCCCGCGCATAGCGGCCCAGGAGGTAGAGACACCCCTGGTAGAATGGGCCCTCACCGTGGCTGGCGGGTCGCGGCCGGCCGAAATATACGCCTGACTGATAACGTCAACCACCCAGTGGGAAAGGCGTTGCTTCGAAAGCGGACTCCCCAGTCTAGCACCACCATAAGCAACAAAGAGCTGGTCTGAGCGCCTCACACCTGCCGTCGCAGCAACGTAGGCCTCCAATGCCCTCACAGGACACAGCAGGTGCAGTCTGTCCTCACCCCCATCCAGGGGGGACACAAACCGCGCCAACCTCAAAGGCCGGTTACAATAGTCACGGGAAAGCACCTTAGGGAGGAAAGTGGGATTAGGCCACAAGACTACGCCAGCCCTCTCAGGGTCCCAGTGTAGGCATGAGGGACTGACAGAAAGTGCATGTAACTCACCGACCCTTTTTGCAGAGACCACAGCCAACAGGAAAGCAGTCTTATAGGAGAGCCACTTGAGGTCCGTTCGGGCCAATGGCTCATACGGAGGGCGGCAGAGAGACTCCAACACCAAGGCCAGGTCCCAAACCGGAGACCGCGCGGGCACGAGAGGGTGCAGCCTACGAGCTCCGCGTAAAAAGAGAGACACCAGGTTATGGCCCCCCACAGTACAGTTATCAACCAGGCCATGATAACATGAAATAGCAGCAACATATACCTTCAGAGTAGATGGGGCCCGACCTTCATCCAGGAGAGACTGAAGGAATTCCAGGACAACCGCCACCGGGCACGACACGGGATCCCGACCGCGGGAAGAACACCAGCGGGAGAACAACTTCCACCTGTTCTCATACAGCCGCCGAGTAGAGGCCGCCCTGGCATTCAGGAGTGTACGCCTGACAGGGCCAGTGACATCGAGTGCCCGCAGCTCGGGCCAGCCAACGGCCATACCCATAACTTGAGGCGGTGAGGACAGGGATGCCACACCTGACCGTCCAGCTGTGAGAGCAGATCCCGCCTGGGAGGGAGAGGCCAGGGGGGAGCCCAACAAAGTCTGAGTAGCAGTGGAAACCAGGGCCGTGCAGGCCAAAACGGAGCCACCAGTAATAAACTGTGCCCCGCCCGAAGGACCCTCTGGAGGGTTGGCCAGATCAGAGGAAAAGGGGGAAAGGCGTACAGGAGGGCCTGAGGCCAACTGTGCGCCAGGGCATCCTGGCCGAGAGAGCCCGGAACCCCGTCCAGGGAAAAAAACTGAGGGCAATGAGTGGAGGCCACCGAAGCGAACAGGTCCACCTGTGCCCGACCAAAGAGGCCCCACACCCTCTGGACCACACCGGGGTGGAGACACCATTCCCCCGGGGCAGGCCTCCCGCGAGACAGGGAGTCCGCCACGCGATTGCAGTCCCCTGGCAGATACGCTGCACGCAGTGTAGCCAGGCGAGGCGCAGCCCAAACCAGCAGAGCCTGAGACACCTCGAGGAGCCGAGCCGATCGGACACCCCCTTGATGGTTGATGTGATACACGACCGAGGTGTTGTCCGAACGAATGAGGACATGTTTCCCCAGCAGGTGAGGCAAAAACTCCTGGAGAGCAAGGTGGACGGCCCGAAGCTCCAGTACATTTATGTGGTCTGAGCGCTCCGCCCGAGACCAAACCCCTCGGGCCAACCTGCGCTGCCACACAGCACCCCATCCCGTACGGCTGGCGTCGGTGGTGACCACTTCCCTGCGGCACACTACCACCCCCAAGGGGACCCCACGTGACAGGAGACCGCGGTCCCTCCATGGAGCCAAAGCACGAAAACATGCCCACGTCACCTGTAACCGTCTGTGGCGGTGACGAACGGCATCCAAACGAAACCCGTTCAGCCACCTCTGCAACGGGCGAAGCGAAAGCAGTCCGAGTGGAACCACACGAGAGATCGAGGCCAGCTTCCCCACCAGCTGTAGAAAGCTGACGTAACTGTGCAGGGTGCCAAGACCGAAACTGGACACCACACCGTGGATGTCGACCAGGCGGCGCACCGACGGACGCGCCGTCATAGTCACCGTGTTCAGACTCAGGCCAAGAAAAACAGCGGCCTGCGAAGGTACCAGGCTGCTCTTTTCGAAATTGACCCTGAACCCCAAGCGGGCGACATGAGTCAGAAGGCGCTCCGTATCTTCCAAGGACCGTGCCCTGGACGGGGCGCAGATCAACCAATCGTCCAGATAAGGCAACACCTTCATGCCACTGGCCTGCAGCGGAGCAAGAGCCGCCTTCACGCATCGGGTGAAAACCCTCGGAGAGAGAGAGAGGCCAAAGGGAAGAACCCTGACTGCCAGTGAACGCCCCGATAGGCGAACCGGAGGAACCGCTGGTGGGGCTGCGCAATGGGCACGTGAAAATACGCGTCCCTCAAATCTACGGACGTGAACCATTCCCCGGCCCCAACAGTCTGAAGGACTTCCGCAGTCGTCAGCATGCGAAATGGAATGACCTTCAGGAAATGATTCAAGCCCCTCAGATCCAGAATTGGTCGAAAACCCCCCGTCTTCTTGGGCACGAGAAAATAACGGGAGTAATAACCCCTGGGTTGCAGCAGCGGATCTACCGCCTCGATGGCACCCTTGGTCAGGAGGGCGGAGAGCTCCTGATCCAAGATAAAGGCTTTTGCCGGGTCCGAGAACAAAGTAACCTTGACCCGGCCCGACAAGTGCGGCCGGCGTCGGAATTGCAGACGGGTATCCGTGGGTCAATGTGGCAACCACCCACGGATCCCGAGCTCGAGCAGCCCAACACTCGAGCTGCTGATGGGAAAAATGTCCGACGCTCGGCCCTGAGGCGTCAATTCCGTGCCCCCCGCCCCCTAGGGGCTCTGGGGGGACCCCGCCCAGGACCAGCCGCGGCGCCACTTGGCTGGCGGGTCGGGCGCCTATGTACGGGTGGGGCACGAAAATTCCCGGCAGGCCTGACCTGGGGAAAACGCTGAGCACCAGACCAATCCCGAGGAGGCTGCCGAACACCGGGGGCCACCATCGGGCGCAAAAACTGCCGGGGAGGGCGCACCACCCTGCTAAGGCTAGAAAGTTGCTGTCTAGTCTGACCAGCATGGACAGTCCGGTCCAATGCTTCCTGGGCCGCCGTCCCAAACATCTGACCCGGCTCGACAGGCACGTCACGGAGGGTCCTACGACAGGCCTCAGTCAGGGGAGACTGAGCCAGCCATACCTGCCACGAGCCTGTACAAGGACCGACATGACCCGTCCGAGTTCCCTGGCCATCAAGGCAAAAGCATGCAGAGCTGCGTCGCTAAACGCAGTAACATCAGTGCCCACAGCACTACCCTCTTGGAGGGAGGCAGACAGGGCAAGCAGCAGATGCGCTAAGGAGTTACCAATACGGCCAGCTCGAGCACCAGAATTGTAGGCCTTTGTTAGCAAGTGATCCGTCGCACGACACTGGCTCCGAGGGCACCTCACATTCTCCCGCAAGGACTCCTCTGGAGAAACAATGAGGGAGGCAACCGCCGGCTCAACAGCCGGCATGCAATCCAGACCAGCCGAAGAGGCATCGTGCATCGCGGCCAAAGCCCGACCCTCAGCCGACAGCTTAGAGAGACGGCTGGGGTCCCTCCAGCACGCGTGTAGCTCCTTCAGATACTCCGCGGACGGGGGCACAACAAAAGCAGGAGACGAACCACCACGCCTGAAAAAAGCACTGCCAGGGTCAGCCTGTCCCGACTGGGGAAGTTCCACCTGCAGACGGGATAAGGCCCTGCGAAGAACCTCCTGCATTGAGCCGTCACCAGACCGGCTGGACACACTATGTGCGGAAGAATAAGCATCGTCCCCCGAAAGGGACCGCGCGTCATCCTCGTCCCGGAAGCACGAAGCAGATGCCGCCAGAGAAAGCACATCCTCTTCCGGATGGAGGGATGGCATGGAGCAAGAACCAGCCCCAGAGACGGCATCAGCAGCACAACGTGCCTGGAATGCAGATTTCATCGCCTCCAACTCTGCAGATAACTGCTCCACCCTCGACACCAGGACAGTATCCGGCTTGGCCTGCTTGGAAGGACCATGGCCATCAGACCGCTCCCCCGAAGCACAGGCCTCAGCACGGCGCTTAGAACGCCGAGGGGGCGGAGCCACAGCAGGTCCCACTGGCAAACTACCACCGTCGCCAGACGAAGGCAGCTGAACCAGCCTCGCCACCCTAACAGCCCAGGGCAAGCAGCTGCAGTTCATGCACGGGTTATCGGACACTGCCTCCCTCAAGTGAGTGGGGCCGAGGCACGCCGGACACAGGTCATGGCCGTCATCAACATCGAGTGCTGACCCGCAGCCCACACACGCATGTGACCCGTCCATAACAAGGTTGTTTTTTTTTTTTTTTTTGAAATTAAATTATTATTCTTGTTTCGTCTGTCTGTGTCGTTAATTCAATATGGAATTAATCCCAACCGGTATACAAACTGCAGAACTGAATCAGCGTACTGCAGTTTCACAACAGAAAAGCCAAATATAGCACGGTGGAGGAGCGGACGCGCGAACAGCAGCCTTCACACCACACAATGCACCCGCAGCAAAATGCCACTCGAATAAAATAGTGATGGAGGAGAGGGCGCGCGAACAGCAGCCGTCACACCACACAATACACCGGCCACAGAATAAACACAGGCAGCAAATGCTAACCCAAACAAGAACTGATGGAGGAGCGGGACAACGAACCGCAGCCTTCACACCACAGAGGACACCGGTAACAAAAACTAACCCAAAGAAGAACTGATGGAGGAGCGGGCGCGCGAACAGCAGCCTTCACACCACACAATACACCGGCAGTAAAACGCCAACTCAAAAATAAAGTAGTGATGGAGGAGAGGGCGCGCTAACAGCAGCCTTCACACCACACAATACACCGGCCACAGACTAAACACAGGCAGCAAATGCTAACCCAAACAAGAACTGATGGAGGAGCGGGACAACGAACCGCAGCCTTCACGCCACAGAGGACACCGGTAACAAAAACTAACCCAAAGAAGAACTGATGGAGGAGCGGGCGCGCGAAGAGCAGCCTTCACACCACAGAGGACACGGGTAGCAAAAACTAACCCAACTAAGACCTGATGGAGGAGCGGAACCGCAGCCTCACACCACACAATACACAGGTAGCAAAAGGCTAACCCAAATAAGAACTGATGGAGGAGCGGGCTAACGAACCGCAGCCTCACACCACACAATACACAGGTAGCAAAATGCTAACCCAAATAAGAACCGATGGAGGAGCGGGCTAACGAACCGCAGCCTCACACCACACAATACACAGGTAGCAAAATGCTAACCCAAATAAGAACCGATGGAGGAGCGGGCTAACGAACCGCAGCCTCACACCACTCAATACACAGTTAGCTAAGCTAACTCAAACATGCACAGGCGGAGGAGCAGGCCAACGAACCGCAGCCTTCACACCACGAAATGCATGTACCAAAAGAAAGTACTGACGGAGGAGCGGGCGCCACAGCAGCCTTCACACCAACCAATACACACGTATAAGAAAGAAAACACCAATAAATACCCGAAGGACAACGTCACCGTCGCGCCCCACGGAGGGCGAACCGCAGCTCCGATGAAGAGGGCTTTCAGCGACAGACGTTGACGAAGTTCAAGCAACAACGATTCGAACCGCACGCGAGAAGAAAAAAGGAACAGAGTGCTGGATGACGCTGGACTTTATTACCTCCGGTGTGTCACCCAGGGGGTCACAGGTGTGACTCATTTGGTATTATTACTCGAACTGCGCATGCGCGAAGGGAACATTCAGTGCTATGCACCGCCCTCTGGCGGTCTGAAGGGATGAAATAGAACTTGTACTTCTCCTTCCTACTGTTCTGTAACTGCTGATGCAACACTGATGATCTGGTGAAACCCTTGTGGAGGCTGTAGAAGCTGTGGTACCGTTGAGGCTGATCTCGAAGGCTCCTGTGGACAGGAAGTGTGTCTCCATCATGTTACAGACGAAGAAGACCATGAGGCACGAGAAGATCTGAGACAGACAGAAATGTGTTCAACAGGCTTTATAAATATATTATTAGGTACTTTTTACACAGTAACAGACTGAAGTGAAAGTAAAACATGATTCTGTGTTTGCTCTGTTAGTATTCAGCCGTTCCTGAGTCAATTAAAGCCTTTAAAACAGTCATAATGACTGCTGAATGTTCACACCTGTCCTTATGGTAAACTGTGTGTGATCTACACGTCAGAGGTCAGAGGTCTCTGCTCAGCGGAATGTGGTGAGACACTTCGAAAAGGAGCAGTAAAGAGCTTGGATGGAGTTTGCATCTGCAGGACCCAGGGTCCACATGGTTCCACCAGGAGCAGGGCCCACATGGTTCCACCAGGAGCAGGGCCCACAAGGTGCCACCAGGATGTGGAATATTCCTCGACTCTGACTCCCAGAAAACATGTAAGAGGGAATTGAAGGAATTGAACCTTTTCCATTTCCAACATGTAAGAGTTTGGAGGTATTCTATTCCAATCACCAAGAAAACATGTGTTTTCTTATTTGATTATTTGTAAACTTAAAGAATTGATAAAGAAAATTGCGTACTTCAAAAACATTGAGCACACGTTATAGACCAGGCTCTGATCATAATGGTATAACGAGTAATAATAATAATAATAATAATGCAGTAGTAACAACAAATGTCTGCAATTACATTTAACAGTATTCTGCTCCATTAATAACATGACAAACATAATTAAAAACAAAAAGGTGATTTTTAATAATATTTAAAAGGATGATGTGAGCGAGAGGAAGGAGCACCTTGTTCTGCTGAGTCCAGGTCCACACACGGGTCCAGGACTCTGAGGGCTCGGTGTTCAGGAGTCTGAACGGACTGGTGCCAGTGACGATCAGCACCAAGGACAGCAGCTTCACGTAGAACACCAGGTTCCCCAGATACCTGCACCAGAACACACACACACACACCATGGAGGACAAATACACAATACACACACACTTTCCAGTTTGTGTCTTCACTGCTCCGTCTCCATTATAGACATCTCTAAAGACATTAGAGTTCTCTACATTATCAGACGATGAGCTCAAACTGTCCAGAGTTTCTCGACATTGACACAATCAAACAAGCAACTTCAGATCTATACAAGTATACAACTGAAACATTATGTAACTGTAATGCATGGCCTAAACATAATAAAACATATATTTTTAAATGTGTATTATTGCACTGATACATATTAAATTACTCCACACAGTATCTACTTTCATACTTTTCCAAAGATGGTTGCAGTTGTTACGGTTGGTTGGAAGAGGTGAAAGGCAAATGGCTGATACATAAAAACATACAATATTAACTACAAATACAAGTCACACAAAAAACTACCTGAAAGGACACCTCTGGTTATAATGATTCTTTTTCTGTTACCGTGTAACAGAAGCTGAGACGATGGATATACTGTAAACATATTTACTTGTTTGCGGTGGTGGGGGGGTAGTTGCTCCCCTCGATGCGCAGCTCTGGGTAGATCTGGTTGATGGCCCTGGAGTAGTCCTGGAACACCTTACTGTAGCCTCAGGAAATACTGAAAACAGAACCAGAAAAACACAAAGGGTTCAGCTCGGAAGCAAACAACTATAATTGGAGAAAAAGAAAACACAAAAAATGTATCTATTGTTACTTTAACGCTAGAACTCCCAGAGCAACATTTGCGAATTGTTGGTCTCATTGAGTTCACTTTCATGTCAATATTTTGCTGAATTTTTCCACTGTGAGATCAACAAAGTTTATCTTATGAAATAATCTTTTTTTGTAGTTCTACCTTTAACTCAACATTGTATGGCAGTTAAACATTTCTAGGAGGATATTATACTTTTCTACTAACCCTAGCCGCTAGTAATACCCTATCCAGATATTATTATAGATCCATCTTCTGTACAGTTTCGTGGAGATGGTCCTGTATGGGTCGTAGACTGGTTCAGAGAAATCTCAGCTTGGGGCAAGTGCTTGTTTCAGGAAGACACCAGACTCAACCCATTGTCTTAAGTCTTAAGAATGAACTCGCTGGAAATTCGCTTGAAGAAATTGGAAGAATCTGGTGTGCTCCTGCTTGGTTGGAATGAAAACCTGCAGCCACTCGGTTCTTTGAGGAGTTGAATACCCCTAAGCAAGCTCTTAGATCCTCAGGACACACACATGTAGCACCACATTCACACAGATGAAACACAGTCCTTTAATCCTTTGAAGGCCGCAGACTGGAAGAACCTGCACACGCACCAGTACTGGAAGCGCAGCACCGGTCCCATCATGTTCCCGGCGCCGCTGAAGGTTTTGCCCGGTTTGCTCTGCTCCTCCCCGGGTGTAAACGTGCTCCGGTCGTCGGTGTCATCCGGGGGCCCGCGGTGCATGCCCACGTACATGTCTTTGACCGTGAGAGCCGTGAAGAGCAGCAGCGCCGCGAGTACGAGTCCTCCACTGAACTCCGCCATTAGCATTAGCATTAGCCCCCGGACAGATCAGCCGCTGTTTACAAGAGGCTGGCTTCCGGGGTGCACGAGCCTACTTCCGGGTACTCACAATGACTTGAATTTTAAAATTTTCTCCACAAATACAAGTATGTCTTTTATTGTATTTCAAGTGTGTTGAGATTATGTAACATTAAAGCGAATGCTGTTATTTGATTTAATTATATCGAAGAATTTCACACAGTACCGAGCACTCTTCAGTCACAGACTCCTCCCACGGATGTTTTTCTTTAAATAATTCAAAGCGTCTAAATATAAATACTTTAACAATATTACATTGTACTCAATGCACATACAAATATCAACACTGGAGTACTGAAAATACATACATGCATATAATTCATACACACACACACACTTACATAAACTCACACACACACGCCAGGTTTGTTACTGGAAAAAATAACAGAAAAGAAAAAACAAATTTCTTAAGCACAGAAAAACACAAAATAGAATGGATTTGAATGGGCAATGTTTCAACTAGTGTGAGGGTTTTACTTGCTTTCGGATCATTTGCCTTGCCTTCCACGGTTTCACAATAATAGACGTCATCATTCTGCGCAGTGAGAGGCGTGCAGTAGCAGCGGAAGGTGAAGCCCGTGTGGAATATAATGAAATTTATTAACTATATTTGATCACGTCTGATTCTCCGTTGGATCCACAAGGTGAAGCAGATCTTTGTGTCCGTGTGGAGTCCAGTGCCGCGGGAATGGATTCAACAATAACAACAGCAACAGGCTAAAATCCGCTAAACAGGTGTGTATGAAACATGGATCTATTAGGTATGAAACCGAAGCCCCGTTTCCACCAACCCTACAGTGCTCTACTCTACTGGTTACTACACTACTCTGATTTACCCTGCTCTGCTCTACTCTACTCTACTCTACTCTACTCTACTCTACTCTGATTTGGAGCATTTCCACCAGCCCTGTCTACTTCTACCAGGATCAGTCAGTGATTGGCGTGTGATTGGCCAGTACTGCTGGAAGCCATGGTTACCAAGGAATTTCTCCAGATACTGGTTCGTTTTGGGTAGGTTGCTAGGATACAGTACCAGATACTAAAGTGCAACCAGGTAGCTAGAGTACCAGTTCAGTTTCTGTTAATACAGCAACACATTCTCTGTTAAACATTGTAAATTATTCTTGTTTGCTGTGTTAGTTGTATTTCAGTTGTATTTCAAGATTTCTTTTACATAAACCAGACGCACTAACACCAATGTAAAATTAAGGGTAAATTAGAAGAACCAATTCCCAATTGACACTTTTGTCTTAATAAAGGATCCTTCTTGGCCTTAAAAGTGCTGCTTTCATTTGCTCTGGGAGTGAAGGTTGATGCCACTGGCTGAAAGTCAGAAATCAGTGTTTTCCAAACGACAAAATCACTCAGACCAATCAAACTGCAAACTGCTCACTTCACTCCTGTCTTTACAGTTATATTTACAGTCTATGGTCTTTACAGGTGGAAAATGCTGCGTTTGGCGCGTCCCAGCGTCAGTGGGCTGTTGCTGGCCCCTGCCCTGGTTCAGCACACTGTACTGGCCCCAGTCCTGGCCTCTTCCCTGGCCCCTGCTCTGGCCCCGGCTCTGGCCCCTGCCCTGGTTCAGAAGGTTCACATGCACACAGCTCTGTCCCCTGTCCTGGCCCCTGTCCTGGCCCCTGTCCTGGCTCCGGCTCTGGCCCCTGTCCTGGCCCCTGTCCTGGCTCCGGCTCTGGCCCCTGTCCTGGTGCACAGGGCTCACATGCACACCCCTGTGCAGGCAGTGGAGCAGTTCCTGGTGGGGCTGCAGGAGGTGAGCGGCGCCCCCTGGTGGCTCAGTATTGCAGCAGCAACTGTGAGTGTGCGCTCCACGGTGACTCTGCCCCTGGCTGCGTATCAGACTGTGGTTCTGCACAGGGTGAGACACTTACCTTTGTTTATACCTTGTTTTATAACTTCCCTCTTATTCCCAATCGAACCTCTGGGAAGAATCTGGAACACTTTGAATCCAAACTCTTCATACAGCGCTTTTCAGTACGCTCAGGCTCACATGTCATTATTCATTCACTCCAAACATGGTGGTGATACATTACTACTGTAGCCACAGCTGCCTTGGGGCACGTTGACAGAAGCAAGGCAACCAATCTGTGCCATCGGCCCCTCCCACGCTCACAACAGACTAATTCTAAATATACTATAATACGGTTTAACCATATATGTCTATACTTATAATACATATACTTATAATGCATATACTTTTAACAGCTGTATGACTCAAAATGTGTTCATCTTTACATATTCCAATCATCTGATAATTCACTAGTCAATTTACCTGCTGCTATTATTGCTATTGTTTATTCTAAAGCACAGTGTAGACTTCTGTAAACACCTCCTGCTGACTACAGTGATTTATTTTATTATCTCTGATCTGAAGTAACAGATCCTGTGTGTGACCTGAGTCTCATTTCCTCCTTTTGTTCTGCTGTAATGTGCAAACAGGACATAGACATTTCCTCTGAGACGAATAAAGGTTTATGTTATCTCATGTGTTAAGTTCTAAGTCCATAAGGGAGCTACCTGAAAGGGGCTGGTGAGCTACTGGGAGCTCTGACGACTCTCAGACCCGCTCTGGTTTGTCCTAATTTGTACTGGTTTCTCCTGATTTGTCCTGGTTTGTTCTGGTTTGTCCTGGTTGGTCCTGGCGAGTGTTTATTCAAGACTCAAGAGTCGGGATGTTTATCTGCCGTTTGTGCACAAACAGAGTCCATTTGTGCTTCGAGTTCTCAGCTCAAGTTAAAAGCATAAAAAACCTTTTAAAAAAACATATATTTGCAAAATTTCACAGAAAACTTGTTATGTACTTTAAATACAGAACATTCTGAAAGTTCCATCTGTGAAAATAATAAAGTTTTTGATTTGTTCTGAGCAGAGTCCGAGGACAGTGAGGACCAGAGACTTTTTATTATCTTTTTGTGTTTGTCATGAATGGCCAGAGCTGCAGGTGAAAGCCTCAGACCTCTGATGCTGAGTGCTTTCCAAAGTAAACTTCAGCTTTGTTAGTACATTAGAAAGGATTTGCTCAAGGACTGGTGAAAATGTGTTTGTAGAGCAATAAAGATGGCTTTTTGTGAACTGAGAGCCTGCCAAATTTTATTCTGATCTTATTCGCACTAATCCGTTTTTGAACTATTCAAATATGTGTGTGTTGTGTGCAACAAAAAGACGACTTGTGCGTCCCTCGGGTCAATCCCACAGTGATAAAAGTAGACCCTAAACTAGACCCTAGATTTGGGTCTAAAGCACAGGCCGGGCCCCTTTTTACCTTAAAGAGCCAAACATTTATCATATTTCAAAAAGTATTTCTGTGGGAGCCATTTTTTCTTTTTTTACTGTGAATATGTGTGATCATTTAAAAACAAGATCAATGTATTTTAAGTGCAAAATGAGTCTCAGATGTATTCTTTTCTTTAATACATTTATATACTGACCACGTCCAATACATAAAACATTCTTATTTGCCCTGAGGATAACAAAAAGATTATGGTTTTTGCTCAGTGGAACTGTGCCTCATGAGTGTGTTCTTAGCTGCAGTGTGCCTCTTGTCCAGGTGGAGGCGCTGCAGAAGGAGATCTCAGAGCTGTCGCTCAGACTCCGATATGAAGTGTCTGTGAAGGCCAAAGAAGCCGGATGGAGCGAGCGCACCTGCAGGTACCACACTGGGGTCAACCTCCCCCTGCACTAGTGACCCCAACACACCATCAGAGACACCTGCCTGTTCTCTTCCAACAATCCATGAAGATGTTGGACACAATTGTGTGACCCACATCCATGAGATCCTTAACCTTCTTTACACCTGAATTATCTACAGATACCTTTCAACTCAGTCTTAGATGGTTCTTACAATAAGACAAAAAGTATAAAGAAAACTGCTTGATCACCACATGTTTGGAGACGTCCGCCTTCGTCAGAGACCGTGATGGTGATCAGCTGTTGTTACAGATGTGGTCAGACTGACCACGCCCCCTCAGACTGACCACGCCTCCCTGTGGTCTCTGAAGAAGTGAGTCCCAGGTGTGAGCCAAGGTGAAGGCCCCTTTGTCTCTGTTTATGGTCCGTGTCCATAAACAGAGACCCTAAACAAGGAACACTAAAATCCCCACAGAATCCTCCTGTAGGTTCTCTGTCAGGTTCTCTGTCAGCTGAGGTCAAGCTGTTTTAGTTTATATTGAGTTCTATGGTGAATATTTATGGGTTGCCCACGTGAATTTATTCTTGTTTAGTTTGCAGTACCGCGAGAATCCCTTGAGCACATGGGTCCTTCAGCTCCAAGCTACTATAGTAATCTGCGATCCAGATATTATAATAGATCTTTGCCCTCAGCACATTCGTACAAGTGCTGAAAGGTTTGAAGCCAGTGATCCTCCAGCTCCAGTCTTTTCTGAGTTTCTGTCTTTTGTAGATTCCAGTTTAAGAAGAATATGCGGCGCATCGTCTCAGAGCTCTACGTTCGCGACAACTGCCATCCGTTCAAAGCCTCCATCTTGGTTCTGGTGCAGGTCCCGCTCTGGATCAGTCTTTCTCTGGCGCTCCGAGACCTCAGCCTGGACTCCAGCGGTGAGAGACTGCAGCACTAAAACAGTTTTTGACGATTGTAAAAATATTTTTACTTTAAACACTGAGATGGCTCTTTCATTTCCTACGGTGAGAATACAAAAAAACAAATCCAGGAAATTACATTGTATGATTTTTAAACAATGAAATCTTATAATGCTGCAGACTCAATATAATTGTTTTGCCATAAATCACAGTCATCTCCAAGGACTTTGCAACGTTGACGATTCACCAACAGATCCATAGGGAGCGGGATGACAACAGTCCAAACATTTTGCTAAATGTTCTTTGATCCAGGACTTTGATGTCCTGGAGCACTGTCCTCAGACCCTGCTGTGTCAGAATAGCCTTAGCCGTCTGAAAACTCAGTCTAGTCCAAGCCCCGGCGATCCAAGATGGCGCCCTATTGAAATGAATGGTTGTGCTCAGTGGCGCTTTGTGACGGCATGGGGGCTGAAAGATTAGCGGAAGTTGCCTGAAACTCGCAAAGATCTATGGGAAACTCTCAAAAATCTCTGGGAAACTCGCCTGTATTTGGCCATCGTCTGGTCCTCCCGGTTCTGTGCAGTGGATGATCTCCCATGATGCATTGCGCCAAACACCGGGTCTCACGCACGTGCACAGAGGGGCTCGGCCGCGCTCTGACCAATCAGAGCAGTTCATCAGAGCGGGAGTTAGAGCGAGAGCCAGAGGAGCAGAGTTTGTGGCACTAATGTGTGGATTTAAACAAAACCGAAGGATTTAAGAAGAAAAAAAGTTCAGGATGACAAGGGGCACTAAAATCCCCACAAAATACTATCTTTATTAAAGCTGTAGGTTCTCTGTCAGCTGAGGTTGAGCTGTTTTAATATACATTGAGTTCTATGGGGAAAATTTCTGGGTAGCCCACGTGAATTTAGTCTGGTTCAGTCTGCAGTACCGCGAGAATCCCCTGAGCACATGAGTTATTCAGCTACAAGCTGTAATACCCTATCCAGTTATTATAATAGATCCATGGCTTAGTCCATGATAATTTCCTACATGTACGTCTGAGTCTAATCTTAGTGGCTGCGGTTGACCCCCCCCCCCCCTCCCACCAATCGGCCAAATTTCCTGGTTGTAGTTTGACAATGGCCAAACTACAAGTTATTAGTAACATAATCCGTTCTGGTTCGGCTCCAAATATCCAGAAATTGAAGCCGGAACAAGAGGAGTGTTTAGCAAAATGTTATTGCTGCAAAGATTTTGTGGCTCCACTCCCCACGGGCTCCGTTAGGTGTAAGGGCGATGGCTAAAGCTAGGCTAAATGCTAAAGCTAGGTTAAAAGCCTCACTCACTTGGCTGCATTACACACCTGAACTCAGATCTAATCGTTTCAATCTGCAAAAGGAGTTAACCCTCCCACCTGTTAACGGAGCTCAAAGGTGTAAATCCAGAGCTTAGTACGACCTGAACTGAGTACGATGGTGTGATAAGACCAAGCTAGCATCAGAAAGGAACGCCTCAAAAACCCAAGGGGAAAATAGTTCTAGTGTAAAAGGATAAATATGACGCTAAATGAAAGCTTTGTTTTTGTACTTTTAACCACTATGTAACGTTGTTCCTCATGTTGTTCACAGAGGTGTACTCTGCGCTGGCAGCAGGGGGCGCTCTCTGGTTCAAAGACCTCACTGTCCCTGACCAAACCTGGATCATCCCTGTGTCTCTGGGACTCACCAACCTGCTGCTGGTGGAGGTAGGTCCTGCTGCTGCAGGTGGAGGTAGGTCCTGCTGCTGCTGGTGGAGGTAGGTCCTGCTGCTGCAGGTGGAGGTAGGTCCTGCTGCTGCTGGTGGAGGTAGGTCCTGCTGCTGCAGGTGGAGGTAGGTCCTGCTGCTGCTGGTGGAGGTAGGTCCTGCTGCTGCAGGTGGAGGTAGGTCCTGCTGCTGCAGGTGGAGGTAGGTCTGGAAGTGGCGGATGTAGCGGGCAGACTTTGATGCTAACAGAGCTATGCTAGCGGCTTCTCGTGTAAAGATCTTCTCCAATAATGCAGCTTTGCAGCGTCTCTGTGTCCAGAGACCTTCCAGAGACTTTATATAACAGTAGTATGTGTTCACGGAGGTGCGCCATACGTTTATTTTATTATTAAACGGTATTTCCACATCGGCGAACACACTCGAAGCAGTTGCATAAAGTCACGGGAGCATGACAACGTATATATTCACAAGCACACAGTCCCCCATGGTCAACCCTGGTTTAGTCCTGATTTAGTCCTATTTTAGTCTTGATCGAGTCCTGGTGTAGCTCCTGTTTTTGCTGTTTACAGTATGTTCAGTCTGCTCGCTCAGTGCTCTAATGTCCCTGTGACCACTTTGCAGCTCTCTGATTGGTCGCTGCATGAGCGTCCTGAGGAAACGCTCAGCAGTATTTATCTCCTGCGTCGACTTTCCGCTCCTGTGCCTCTGCCGCGCAGTCCGTGCATGCATCCTGAGACACACATGCAGTTAGACGCTCGAACACGCGTCACCATTGACTTTGCATTGAAAGTTGCCGCAACATATGATCTGGTCTGAACACGGCTTGAAGCTAAGCAGGGCAGGGTCTGTTTAGTACTGTGATGGGAGACCTTTGGAAACATCCGGGGGCCATAGTGGGGCATCTGTATGCCAAATTGTTGTGTCCTTACATGGTGCTCCACATGGTGCTCCACATGGTGCTCCACATGGTGCTCCACATGGTGCTCCACATGGTGAACCATATGTTTGTGTCGCAGCTGGCGTCCCTCCAACAGAAGTCGGTCCCGGGACGTTTCCAGAAGATCGTCCTGCACTCGTTCAGAGCTGTGTCTGTGATGATGATCCCAGTGTCTGCGTATGTCCCCACGGTGAGTCGTCTGGGGAGGGGAGCGTTCATGTCCCCACGGTGAGTCGTCTGGGGAGGGGAGATTTCATGTCCCCACGGTGAGTCGTCTGGGGAGGGGAGAGTTCATGTCCCCACGGTGAGTCGTCTGGGGAGGGGAGAGTTCATGTCCCCACGGTGAGTCGTCTGGGGAGGGGAGAGTTCATGTCCCCACGGGGTGAGTCGTCTGGGGAGGGGAGAGTTCATGTCCCCATGGTGAGTCGTCTGGGGAGGGGGGCGTTCATGTCCCCACGGTGAGTCGTCTGGGGAGGGGAGCGTTCATGTCCCCACGGTGAGTCGTCTGGGGAGGGGGGCGTTCACACTGAATTAGGCCCAGCAGCGTCCTCACTACTCCTATATTTATATCTGATCTGAAGTTCTAATCTCAGTATAATCTATGTTTTCTGAGACCTCTGGGCTTTAAGACAACACAGAAATGTGAGCTCACAGGCAGAGGAGTGGATCCACTCTGGATCCACTCGTTCCAATAGAGGAGACATCAACTCTATGCACAAAATGATTTGACAAGTTTTGAGTGTTGTATTGTGTGTCACCCAAATTATTATCATTATGTATCATTTATTGGTAATTAGCTCTTAATTTCTATTTATGAAACACTCATTAGTATATACTCATTAGTATATACTTATTCAACATCTAACTAGCTATTAATCAACACTTTCACTGTGGGTTAGGATTTGCTAACTATCACTTAATTAGCTATTAAATAGTGAGCAGTAATTTAAAGTGTTACCAGCATATTTAATTTGTTTGATTGGTGCCAAAGCATAGGAAGGGATTTGGACAGCTGCAGATCTCATTCCTGCTTCAGTGTGTTTACGTGAACAGCAGAGAGAACACGTAAGAGCGTGTTCTGTACGGATGGTCCTCCTCAACTGTCATCTGAGGAGACCACACAAATATACCAATGCTTCTGCTAACGAGGCAGATATAGCTCTGATCGAGGTCAAGTCTGTGTCATAACAATGGTTTTCTCTGGGGTCTTTTCTGAAGTCGATGGTTTGTCTTGAGTTTATGGTTTTAGGTTGGAAGCTTAGCTCTATTTGACCTGCTTTTATTGTCCTGAAGGAGCTCTATCATCTCAGAAGACTTTTTTTTTTTTTTTTAAATGCTCTAACATGGTCATACCTGCAGGTGAAAGTCAGACCTCTGAAGCTAAGCAGGGCTATCGGTGTGCCCCAGGGCAGTCGTGGCTACTGTAGGAGTTTATCACAACTGTGAATGGAGTTAAAGAATAATGACATGTGAGCGCTTTTCTGACATGAGTCCGGAAAAGCGCTATATAAAACTGTTTTATTATTACTATTATTATGAAAAGCAGTGGAGAAAGCACGCTCCTTGTGGTACTCCAGTGAAAGGTCTTGGATGATGGACTGAGGCTGAAGCGTGTCGAGGCTCAGGGCTGTAGCGGTGTTCGTGACCAGGATCCAGACACGAGTCGACTCGCTGCGATCTTTACAGTGTGTTTTGTTTGTGAAGCTTTCTGAGCGTCAGGTTTGGACTCGTCTGGATCCATCAGGCCCACATCACTGCAGCTCAGAGACACAACAGTCTATGGCCTTTACAGCCTTCTGAAAGAACCTCTTAACATGATAGAGTTGTGTTTAGGACGTCCATAGTTACAACTTGAATATTGAAAAACACTTTAAAAAAAATGATAATGATATTGGAGAAAGTGGCATACTTAACAGACATTAAAGCTGGGCTATGTAACATTTTGTTTAATAAATAATACATTTGTGTTTGTCTGAACAGAAAGGGTCTGATCTAAAGATATTAATATGATATCACTAGTTTTCACATCCATTCATTAAGTTTTCTATGCCAAAGGCTAATAAAGGAACGTCCCCAGTTTCCTCTGGAAGTTCCTTTCCTTACGTCCTCCGTCATCTATAAGGGAAGTCCTTTCCTTGACCCATTTACAGAATTCGGACCCAGCGCTGGTTTGAAATTCTTAATTACGCCAAAATGCGTGTCAAGGCAAAAGGAGGTGACAACGAATAATTACCCGTATACACTCATGAAGTTCAGGTCTGCATTATCTGCCTTTTGTCTTCAAGCTTTAAAATAAAAAAACAGTCAACTCACGACCAATCAGATCGCACGATTCATAACACACACACACACACACACACAAGGGCCCAGCGAGTCGGAACTTAAAATATAGACCATCTCTCGTTGTGTTGACTACATGTTTTTGGTTCATATGAATAAAAATTGTCAAAATAATCACTTATTTCAGATGTATTGCTCTGGGACTTCACTGTGGGGCGTTCTTAAATGAAAGATGAATGTGATCCTTCAGCTATACAAGGTCTTACTATAATAATGCTTCAGAGGATGACTGTAAGTGTCCGTGTCGTCCACAGAGCATGTCTCTGTACTGGCTCTGCTCCAGCCTCGTGGGACTGAGCCACAACCTGCTGCTGCGCTCCCCTCGCCTCCACACACTGCTCCGGCTGCCGCCCAAGTCCAGCACGCCCTACAGAGACCTGTGGGCCGCTTTTGTCACCAAGTATGTGCGTTGACCAGGACTAAAGCTGGTCAGGACTAAAGCTGGTCTAAAACTGGACTGAAGCTGGATTGAAGCCGGACTGAAGCTGGACTTTGTGTTTCTACAGTTGGGGAAGATGGACCACAAGTGGATTCATTTGGGCTTTTCCCACAAACCACTCAGACCAGTCTTGTCTCGGTCTCAGTCTGCATGTATACTGAGACTAGAGAGGTCTGAGTCTGCATGTATACTGAGACTAGAGAGGTCTGAGTCTGCATGTATACTGAGACCGGTCTGAGTCTGCATGTATACTGAGACTGGTCTGAGTCTGCATGTATACTGAGACCGGTCTGAGTCTGCATGTATACTGAGACTGGTCTGAGTCTGCATGTATACTGAGACTGGTCTGAGTCTGCATGTATACTGAGACCGGTCTGAGTCTGCATGTATACTGAGACTAGAGAGGTCTGAGTCTGCATGTATACTGAGACTAGAGAGGTCTGAGTCTGCATGTATACTGAGACTAGAGAGGTCTGAGTCTGCATGTATACTGAGACTGGTCTGAGTCTGCATGTATACTGAGACCGGTCTGAGTCTGCATGTATACTGAGACCGGTCTGAGTCTGCATGTATACTGAGACCGGTCTGAGTCTGCATGTATACTGAGACCGGTCTGAGTCTGCATGTATACTGAGACCGGTCTGAGTCTGCATGTATACTGAGACCGGTCTGAGTCTGCATGTATACTGAGACCGGTCTGAGTCTGCATGTATACTGAGACTAGAGAGGTCTGAGTCTGCATGTATACTGAGACCGGTCTGAGTCTGCATGTATACTGAGACCAGTCTGAGTCTGCATGTATACTGAGACTAGAGAGGTCTGAGTCTGCACGTATACTGAGACCGGTCTGAGTCTGCATGTATACTGAGACTAGAGAGGTCTGAGTCTGCATGTATACTGAGACCGGTCTGAGTCTGCATGTAAATATTTATTATGTACATGTTTTACTTTGCAGCCAAATATACCATGTTTTGACTTTGTTGTGAGGTCTCCTCTTTGTCCATGGCATAGTTTTATTCATACAGTATATATTCTAATTTAAAACAGCAAATGCCAAAGAAAGTATTCTCAAGATCATATTTATGCTTAAATGATCAAATGAGCCCTTTAGGCACCAGTGGGTTTTTTTGAGAAATGTATATAGAACAGGCAGAGATAGCTATAATCTCACATGTTTTGAGTGTTTGGTGCATCACACATACTCAGTTGGTAGAGCATTGACCTTTGAGCCTGAAGGTCGTGGGTTCGAGCCCACCACAAGACCTACATCACAACTCTGACTGCTGTTGTTGTGTCCTTGGGTAAGACACTTAACCCCACTTTGCCTGAAGCCCCTGCTGAATAATCATGGCTTCTGTGGACTCACCAGCTGCAGGAGGATCAGTGAGGGGCTGGTGCTCTGTGAACTGGGTGCAGCTCTGACTGTCACACCCCTGACCCACAAATGGATTAAGGAGAAGAGGATGGATGGATGGTGCATCACACACATTATTATCAAAGATGTGCATAGGAGGCTGTTAAACATGACGAAGAGCACAAAAAGGCAACCTTTAATGTGAAAAATAAATACTTAATTGATTGAAATGCAGGCGTCACAGCAGCAGAAACGCATCCATCCAAACAAACAAATACATAATCGTAAAAGTGACTAACAATAGTAATAAAGTAGCAGCTAACGTGGTGATGAGCTGCTTCCTCTGATGTCTGCTTGGTTCAGACCATTTTCCCGGCTCTGGTTCAGAGTGAAATTCTTTGAAAAAAATGTATTACTCCGGTAGCTTTCCACTGGATCTGCTTGGTTGCGACCACCCTCTCTGCTCTGGTCTGGATCAGTGTGAAACCATGAACAAGTGTTTCAGAGCGACTCAGGACTCGCTGCTGTTTCCAGAGAATTCAAAAGTAAATTGAAGCGTCTTTGAGAGTCAAAACAAGCGCTATTTGGATTATTATCATGTCTGCCCCGAACCTAAATGGATTTGACTCTCCTGTTCTTCTTAAGCATGGATGTAAACTCCTGTCATGTTCATGCACAGACAGACCACAGATAACACTTAGAGCAGTGTCCCTCGACCTTTTTGAGCCCTGCCACACTTTTGTCCTCGCAAACGATCACATGGCACACTACCAGCTTCAGAAACAACACCTCTACTGTCTTTAATAACAAAGCATTCATCAAAGTGTATTAGACAGAAAATCAAATAAAGCATAACAAAGTTAATCATCTCACATTATTTTCTTTTCACACGATTTTAACCAAGCATTAGTTACATTAGATACAGCGTTAGTTGAGGTCCTGAGGAGACTGTTGTGGCTGAAGTGTTTCTCAGCCGTGTACAGTGAGGACCGGGTTCTGCTCCGATTCTTGTCTCATGATCAGTGGGAGGAGCCTGGTGCATTCCTCTGACTCCCAGCTCGCCCAAACACTCAACGCTCACAGAGAGCCACCAGCAGCAGGAGCCAGCAGCAGCAGGAGCCACCAGCAGCAGGAGCCACCAGCAGCAGGAGCCAGCAGCAGCAGGAGCCACCAGCAGCAGGAGCCAGCACCGAGACGAGCACCTACAAACCACTAAAGGTAACTAGATGTAAAAACTTAGTTATTTTTAAGGCTTAGATGGTTCTTTTAGGTCTGGAATGACTTTTGGGACACTTGAGATATGCCAAGTGTGAGTCAAGGTGAAAGCCCCCTCGTCTCTGTTCATGGTCTTTTCACTTTTCTGCGGATCTGTGAGATCTGTCAGAACAAATATCTGAACTCTGAACCTTGTAAAGCGCTTTGGGTGACATTGGTCTGTAAAATGCGCTATATAAATAAACATTACTTACTTACTGAAGCAGTCCTAGCTTCTATACTTTTTTGTCTTATTAAAAGAACATTCTAAGCCTTAAACACTATAGGTAACTTCTGCCATGACAACAAGCTCCACCTCCATCCAAAAGACCAACTGGGACCCCTCACAATGGGTTTGAGGGTCTCTCACAGTGTCACAGTGGGTTTGAGGGTCTCTCACAGTGGGTCTGGGGGTCTCTCACAGTGGGTTTGGGCTCTCTCACAGTGGGTTTGGGCTCTCTCACAGTGGGTTTGGGCTTTCTCACAGTGGGTTTGGGCTCTCTCACAGTGGGTCTGGGGGTCTCTCACAGTGGGTTTGGGGTCTCTCACAGTGGGTTTGGGCTCTCTCACAGTGGGTTTGGGCTCTCTCACAGTGGGTTTGGGGTCTCTCACAGTGGGTTTGGAGCTCTCTCACAGTGGGTTTGGGGTCTCTCACAGTGTCACAGTGGGTTTGGGCTCTCTCACAGTGGGTTTGGGCTCTCTTACAGTGGGTTTGGGCTCTCTTACAGTGGGTTTGGGCTCTCTCACAGTGGGTTTGGGCTCTCTCACAGTGGGTTTGGGGGATGCTTCTGGAAATGTGATCCAGTTTTCACTTGTCAGATTTTTCAAGTTGATAACATATTTTGATAATATTGTAGTGTAGTTCCATAAAATCATGTATGAGGTTTTTGGAGTAACTCCCCCGACATTGTCGCATGGCGCCGTAAAGATGGCGCCGTGGTAAGAGCTCATGTGTGTGTCGTCTGGTGCACACTGGGGTAGTCTTGCACAGTTTTTCCAATGTGGATTTACTGCAAATGGTAAATAAATGAATCTGAATCTAATCTGATCAGAAATACATTGTTCAGTTCCCATTCAATTAGTGACATCTGTAAACTAACATTTTTGGACTTTTAAGGGTGCTGAGTTCTAAGTCCTGAAATGGGACCAAAAGCGTCTCTACTTGATGCGTAAACTTAGAGAATTTACCACAAACTCTAACTTTTATCACTGCACTGTTGAAACTTTGCTTGTTGGTTCTGTGACTGTGGGGTTTGGTGACATCACAAACGAAAGGAGAGCTCTAAACAAGGTGCTCCGCTCTGAAAGAGGACTGTGAGCTGTGAGACCAGAGGGAGACCAGAGAAAGACCAGAGAGAGACCAGAGAGAGACCAGAGAGAGACCAGAGAGAGACCAGAGAGAGACCAGAGAGAGATCAGAGAGAGACCAGAGAGAGACCAGAGAGAGACCAGAGAGAGACCAGAGAGAGACCAGAGAGAGACCAGAGAGAGACCAGAGAGAGACCAAAGAGAGACCAAAGAGAGACCAGAGAGAGACAGAGAGAGAGCAGAGGGAGACCAAAGAGAGACCAGAGAGAGACCAGAGAGAGACCAGAGAGAGATCAGAGAGAGACCAGAGAGAGACCAGAGAGAGACCAGAGAGAGACCAGAGAGAGACCAGAGAGAGACCAGAGAGAGACCAAAGAGAGACCAGAGAGAGACAGAGAGAGAGCAGAGGGAGACCAAAGAGAGACCAGAGAGAGACTGGTAGCTGTCTGTTCTGCAGATTCTTGATGAATCCAGACTAAAACCGAGCTCTTAGCCATGTTCCAGCTTCTTCCCTCTGGCAGATGATATCGTTTGCTGAGATGCAGGACATCTTGATATGCTAACTATTTTTTTTCTCTCTCTGGTCTCTCTCTGGTCTCTCTCAGGTCTCTCTCTGGTCTCTCTCTGGTCTCTCACTGGTCTCTCTCAGGTCTCTCTCTGGTCTCTCTCTGGTCTCTCACTGGTCTCTCTCAGGTCTCTCTCTGGTCTCTCTCAGGTCTCTCTCTGGTCTCTCTCTGGTCACAGAACCAACAAGCAAACTTTCAATGCTACAGCGATAAAAGTGAAGCAGGGTCTCAATGTTCATATATTTTGAACAGACACAAACATGTGATAATGATAATAATGATAATGATAATAATAATAATAATAATAATAGTAATGCAAACTTAATGCTAAACGTATAGAAATAAACATCAAAGAACAAAATGGAGAAAAGGCTCCGGTGAAACATTAGGTTCAGAGCCTGATGTAAAGTCCTGTAGTGAGAAGTATGTAAAACTTTGGCCAAAAGTGGTACTGCAATCACGGCCTAGTCCTCTCCCTCTCTCCCTGACTCAGGTTGCCAGATATGCAGACGAATCCAGCTGGGACCACAACAGCTGAATAGACAAGGGTTTTGTCAACAACAAATCTATAACAACACCTTTTTCACAAAGATAGAAATCCTGGTCTTATTCCTTGTTTATGATTTGAGAATCATAACAAGACATGTTTTAGTTTTGTGAGATTAGCTCTACGCCGTGAGTTATGGCGCCCAGATCACAGACATCGAAATGAAAACAATAACAAGATTTAGAGGCTGTAAAACCAGTTTAGAAAAAAAAAAAAAAGTGTACAGATTAGGGCCCTTTAATGATGACTTGACATGAAAATCTTACATATTGCTACTTTAAATATACTCTTATCTTTAATCTTTCATGCACCAACTTCATCTTGATCCTGAGCTCGTCCTGTTCTTGTCTCGTTGTAAAATCCTGAATCTTCTTTGCTGCGTGTGGCGTTGGTGTTGTTGACATTCTTCTCACGATGGTTTGGTTTCTCTGACCTTCACAGAAACACGTCCCAAAGGAATCACAGACGTCCACTTCCTGTTTTATTTTACATTTTTCTCCTAAACTCTGGAGCCGTGACCCGAGCAGCAGACTAAAGAATCTCTTCATCTCTATCTCAAACTTTCCCACAACGTTTGATTTGACTGAAGTTTAACTTAGAAGCTCAACAAATATAAAACAAGGAAACGATTCAAAGAAATACTAACATTTGTAATTCTACTGTTGGACCACTACCACAGGACCAGGACCAGACCCAGATCAGGCCTGGGCTAAGACTAGACCCAAGACCAGACCCGGACCAAGTCTTGCTTTCCATGAATTATGATCGGATTTGTATGAATATTTTATTTTCTATTTTGTTGAAATGTTTGTATTTTCTATTAATTGTTTTATGAAAATATACAGAGAATATAAATGCGTGTTGTTTTTATACAAGAAAGTGTAAAACTAAAGGAAGTAAAGTAAATATATGTGTATAATATTTATAGGTGTTCTACTTTTATCCCACTCCTTTTCAAGCAGCGGTGAATTTAAACCTCTGTTTTTATTTAGACTTTTTCATTGTGTTCTTGAAATAAACTAAAACTAAGAGACACGTCTTTGTCTTGAGAACCAGAGGTTAAATACAAATGAGATATAACCACATTTACAAGTTTAAATGGAATTAGTGAGTGATTGGCCCTGGTCTGGCCCTGGTCTGGCCCTGGTCTGGCCCTGGTCTGGCCCTGGTCTGGTCCTGGTCTGGCCCTGGTCTGGCCCTGGTCTGGCCCTGGTCTGGCCCTGGTCTGGCCCTGGTCTGGCCCTGGTCTGGTCCTGGTCTGGTCCTGGTCTGGTCTCACTGATTGGCTCCCTGTGGTTGTGTGTGGCAGGTGTGTGGCTCAGACGGACAGACCTACACAAACCCCTGTGCCCTGAAGAGCGCCAGCAACAGGAGAGAGGCGGAACTGCAGCCAGTGACGGTGAAGGCCAAAGGCCGCTGCCCCTCAGGTCTGAGCACAGGACCCTCTCTGTGTACTCGGATACTTATCTGTGTACTACACTACTCGGATACTTATCTGTGTACTACTACTACTTGGATACTTATCTGTGTACTACTACTTCTCCTCGGATACTTATCTGTGTACTACCACTACTACTCGGATACTTATCTGTGTACTACCCTACTTGGATACTTATCTGTGTACTACTACTACTCCTCGGATACTTATCTGTGTACTACACTACTCGGATACTTATCTGTGTACTACTACTACTCGGATACTTATCTGTGTACTACTACTACTCCTTGGATACTTATCTGTGTACTACACTACTCGGATACTTATCTGTGTTTTACTACTACTCGGATACTTATCTGTGTACTACACTACTCGGATACTTATCTGTGTTTTACTACTATTCAGATACTTATCTGTGTATTACACTACTCGGATACTTATCAGTGTTTTACTACTACTCAGATACTTATCTGTGTACTACTACTACTCGGATACTTATCTATGTACCACCACTTTTGCCTTCTGTGGGCTTTTTCTAAATAGAAAATGTGAAATGTGTGAATATGTGCAGCTAACGCATGCACAAATACAAGTGCATTCAAAAGTCCACAGTGGCTAAACTAGACAGGTCCAAAAAAATGAATTCTCTTTCCGGGTACACCCCCACTGGCCCGGAGTGAGATTGCAGCATGTCAGTGCACGTGCTCATTTACCTTTTGGAGCCAGGACCCGCCCACACCGATTACAACATGTAGATAATGTTTACAAATATTAGAGCATCGACACAATCCTTCCATCTGAACTGTAATCAGTGATGATCTCAGAGTCTGCAGGCGACAGCAGCATGTTCAAAGCTGAAGGTTAAATTCTGCAGGAACAAGCAGGAACTGAACCTCAGCTCAGGCCTCCGGGCTCAGAGCGAGTCCGCAGCCGAGGGTTCGACAGATTCATGTATTTTTGTCCTTCATAAAAAACTGTTGTAAAGTAAAGCTACACAACCACAGCACCGTCTGCACCAGCTGAGTCCAAGTCACGTCAAGTTGTGTTCAATGAAGCTAACATATGCAAACGCTGCACTGAAGTGTGGTCCTCACGGCCTCAGACTGGTCCTTGCGGCCCCAATTTTTATGGGCTGATTTGTCGTCCCACAGTCGCTCTCACAAATAAACACTCATCACTTTGAATAATTGGACATGTTTTTAGTGGTAGGGGAAACCGGAGCACCCGGAGGAAACCTACGCAGACATGGGGAGGACATGCAAACTCCACTCAGAAAGTTCTGGAGGTGGAATCGGACTCCTGAGCTTATGTCTACACACACACGTACACACACACATACATGTACACACACGCGCACACACACACGCACACTGTGACAAACCTGAAGTGTTTGTGACCGTAACACAAAAGTTTATGCGGTGAGCGCTGGATCACTGTTACACCACCGTGCGCGGAGCTTTTCGCGCTGTTCCCAAGCCAGCCCTCGGCTTCTCAGATCACTCCATGATACATCTGGTTCCTGCTTACAGACAGAGACTAAAGCTCTCGAAACCTGCAGTGAGGAGCTCCAAAGTGTGGTCTGATGAAGCTGTGGAAGAGCTGCGCGCATGCATGGAATCTACAGACTGGGACCTTTTCAGCGCTGCCACAGATAGTTTGGATGAATATACGGACACTGTGACGTCATACATTCACTTCTGTGAGGATAGCATCATTCCAACAAGGACCAGGGTCATCTATAACAACGACAAACCCTGGTTCACTGCTAAACTCCGGCAGCTCAGGAAAGCAAAGGAGTCTGCTTTCAGGGAGGGGGACCGCAGCGGCTACAAAGCAGCTAAATATCAGTTCAGGAGAGAACTGAAAGCAGCCAAGTCCCGGCACAGAGAACGACTACAGGAGCAGTTTGGTAACAACGATACTGCTTCTGTCTGGAGGGGCCTACGGGAGATCACCAACTACCAACCCAAAGCCCCCCCCTGTGCTGACGACCACAAGCTAGCTGACGATCTGAACTTATTTTTCAGTCGCTTTGATGCTGCCCCTGACACCTCTCCCTCCCCCACCCCCCACTACTCTAACGACCCACCCATCAGCCCTGCCCCCAGCCTAACAATAGCCCCTAAAGAGATTAAACAACTCTTCTTGAGGCTGCACCCCCGCAAAGCTCCTGGCCCGGACCACGTGTCTCCGGCCACTCTGAGACACTGCGCCAGTGAGCTTACTCCTGTGTTCACTGACATTTTCAACACCTCTCTGCAGTCCTGCCATGTCCCGGCCTGCTTCAAATCCTCCATCATTCTCCCCGTCCCGAAGAAGCCCAGGATCACAGGACTCAATGACTACAGACCTGTAGCACTTACGTCTGTCGTCATGAAGTCATTTGAACGCCTGGTTTTCTCCCATCTCAAGTCCTTCACCTCCCCCCTCCTGGACCCCCTGCAGTTCACCTACAGAGCCAACAGATCTGTAGACGACGCCATTAACCTGGCCCTCCACCACATCCTACAGCACCTGGACTCCCCGGGGACCTACGCCAGGGTCCTGTTCGTGGACTTCAGCTCTGCCTTCAACACAATCCTGCCATCCCTGCTCCAGGACAAGCTCTCCCAGCTCAACATGCCCAATTCCACCTGCAGGTGGATCACTGACTTCCTGACGGACAGGAAGCAGCGAGTGCGTCTGGGGAAGAATGTCTCGGACTCTCGGATTATAAATACAGGAGCCCCACAGGGCTGTGTTCTTTCTCCCCTGCTCTTCTCCCTGTACACCAACCACTGCACCTCCAGCCACGACTCCGTGAAGCTGATCAAGTTCGCGGACGACACCACCCTCATTGGACTCATCTCCAACAACGATGAGTCCGCCTACAGGAGGGAGGTGGACCGGCTGGTGTCCTGGTGCAGTGGTAACAACCTGGAGCTGAACGCCCAGAAGACAGTGGAGATGATTGTGGACTTCAGGAAGAGCACTGTCCCCCCGCCCCCACCCTCCGTGATGGACTCCCCCATCACCTCTGTGGAGTCCTTCCGTTTCCTGGGCACCACCATCACCCAGGACCTCAAGTGGGAGCCGACCATCAGCTCCCTCATCAAGAAGGCCCAGCAGAGGATGTACTTCCTGCGGCAGCTCAGGAAAGCCAAGCTGCCTGCACAGATGTTGGTGCAGTTCTACACGGCCATCATCGAGTCCATCCTCACCTCCTCCATCACCTCCTCCAGCACCTCCTCCATCACCGTGTGGTTCGCTGGAGCCACAGTCAGGGACAAACAGAGACTACAGCGCATTGTGCGCTCTGCAGAGGAAGTGATCGGCCGCAGCCTTCCATCGCTGCAGGACCTGTACGTCGCCCGAGCTCGAGGCCGGGCTGGTCGTATCACAGCCGACCCCTCTCACCCTGCACATGGACTATTCCAACCACTCCCCTCAGGCAGGAGGCTGCGGTCCATCAGGACTAGAACCTCCCGCCACAAGAACAGTTTCTTCCCCTCTGCTGTTGGACTCTTGAACACTTCTTAACCTGTCCCCCCGCCCTTTATAAAGTCACTTTACTGCCCATCATACGTCACTTTACTTCACTGTACTGCTGTCACCTTACATTGTGTGCACCATGTGCACTTGTATATTGTAAATAGTAACTGTAACTCTATTTTAAATTTAAATTTATTCTTTAGAAGTGTTTTTTATTCTTATTTTTATTATCTCTTTTTGACTGTTGCACTGAGCCAAAGCAATTTCCAAGTCTGTGACCTCCTGTTACTTACGTGGCAATAAAAATGATTCTGATTCTGATTCTAAAATCTGTTCAAATATTACATCATCTCTGTCCTCACCCCGAGTCTGAGTCCCGGTCTGGACTTGTCTTCACTTTCCCAGAGTCCTGGGTCTGGTCTTGCCCTCGTCCATCCGTGTCCTCACCCCGAGCCTGAGTCTGAGTCTCGGTCTGGACTTGCTCAGATTCCACTGAAATCATTCTGTCCATCACCTGCTCCTCTGCAGGGCATCAGGTTTACCTCAGCTTTAGGCCTGAACCTGTCACAGGCTCCTCCCACTGCTGAATTGCCAAACCATGTGTGGAGGGAGTGAAGAAGAGGAAATGTGTCCTTTATGGTATTTATCTAAAGAAACATGTTGTTTTGTTGCAGCTCCGCGGATAGTGACCCCTCCTGGTGAAGTGTACAACGTGTCGGGCTCGCAGGTGTACCTGAGCTGTGAGGCCGTGGGCATCCCGACACCTGTGCTCACCTGGAACAAGGTAAGCCCCGCCCACGGCCGCATCAAGGGGAGGGGCATCTGGTGTTAGTGTCTGAAGCTGATTTGGTGATTCTTATCCTGCTTTTGTCTCCAGTGTTAGACCATAACAGCCGCTCACTGGTCTCTACAAACGAGTAGATAGTGTAGTACCAGAACAAGAAAGTACCATCGCATTAGTCCTGGTCTCAGGTCTCTGTTTGTTACAAGTCTCTCCATGGCCTCGCACCAAAGTCCATCTGTGACATGTTAGTGCCATATGAACCAACTCTGAGGAGCACAGGGACTGGCCTCCTGCTGGGACTCAGAGGAGCACAGGGACTGGCCTCCTGCTGGGACTCAGAGGAGCACAGGGACTGGCCTCCTGCTGGGACTCTAAGGAGCATCCAAAGATAATCCATTGACAAAACCTATTGACATAAAGTGGTGCATTATGGAACATGAAGTGGTGCATTATGGGACATGGTTGGTGCAGGTGGTGAACGGCGGGAGGAAGAGGGTGGAGCTTCTGCCTGGAGACAGAGACAATCTGGCCGTTCAGACTCGAGGAGGACCAGAGAAACACGAGGTCACCGGTTGGGTCCTGGTGAGTATGTGTGTGTGAGAGAGAGTGTGTGTGTGTGTGTGTGCATGTGTGTGTCTAATTGCTCCTGTGTGTTTGCAGATCTCTCCTCTCACTGAGCAGGAGGAGGGTTCTTACGAGTGTCACGCGTCCAACTCCCTCGGAATCGCAACCGCTGAAGGCTCCATCCACCTGGTGCAGAACCAGGAGAGCATCACGGTCAAGAGAGGTACGGACCAGCACAGCACAGGTCCAGCATGGACCTATAGCTGACAGAGAACCTGACAGAGAACTGCTGACAGAGACAGCTTTCATAAAGGAGGACTCTGTGGGGATTTTAGTGTCCCTTGTCGTGAACTTTTTTTGTTGTTAAATCCATCAGTTTTCTACAAATCCAGACTTTAGTTAAACAAACTGCTGGTTTTCCTCCCGCTCTGATCAGCAGCTCTGATTGGTCAGAACACAAATGCTCATTAGTATTTGGAGCAAAGCATCATGGGAGCTCGTACTCTGCTCAGAACCAGGAGGACCAGAGAAATGATCAAATATGGGCGAGAGAGAGACCAGAAAGAGAGACCAGAGAGTAATGGTTTATGTCTGTCTTGTGTGTATTTTCAATGCTGATGTCTGATTTTTTTCCAGGACATAAAGCATTAAATTTGAATCTCTCAAAATAAATGTTTAGTTTATAATAAAATCATTCAAAAGCTGAGAGACACATGTTGTGCAGACAAATTGACAACTCTGATGTGGGTGATGTCACAGTGCACCAATTAAAAAGCAGAACAATTCCATACTCAGTCATCTCTCTTTATCCGGGCAGAAGTGCGACACTAAGACCAGTGTTTGTTTGTGTCCACAGTTCTGAAAGACCAGGAGCTGTGAGCCGCTGCACCTCCACTTCCTGTTGTCGTCATGATAATCGTCTATATTATTCACTGCATTTGTTGTGAGATCACTGTGGACCTTTGCGATCCTGCTGTAGACCAGGTCCAGACCAGTTCTAGCGTCTTGTTGTTCAAAAGACAGACAAAAAAGGTCCTGTTTCCACCAGACCCTACTCGGCCCTACTTTGAATTACGCTTTAGTTAGTGGTATCGTAGCAACCTTCTCACAGCAAAACCCCAATAGTAGTAGAGTAAAGTAGGTAGAGCAAAGTAGGTAGAGCCGAATAAATCTTGTCTTCTGATTAGAAATGGTATAGAACAACCAAAAACATTTTATTTTTGTAGAGTAGGGCTGGTGGAAACAGGGCACGTGTTATTATGTACCTTTGTATACACTCACATTTTTTATGAATGAGACCTGAGCTTCTAGCGCAAGTTGCCGACTGTTTTGCGCAACTGGCATAATTAAAACTGAAATAAAGCTGGTGAGGGGATAAAACATGTTTGACTTATTTTTATTGTCGTTTGGAATAAATGTATTACTGAACCAGAGCCAGAACATTTCACCTGCTGATGTTTGGGACGTCCATGGTGCGAGGATGAACCAATAAGTACAGGCCACTGATCTGAACGGTAAGACGTCTTGAAGCCAGGGCAGACATGTTGGGAAGACCAGGGGAAGACATGTTGAAAAAACCACGGGCAGACATGTTGGAGAGACCAGAGGTAGTCAACTTGGAGCAACATGGGCAGACACCTTGGAGAGACCAGGGGCTTGTTACTGCACCAAATAACTCCATAACCCCAACTCCAGTGTCTCCCGTTCTGGAGGCTTATTTTTGTCAGTCATAATACAGGTCAAAGCAGCTGGAGCGAATACAGAATGAAAGAAGCAATTTATTCAAAAAGAGATTTATTAACACAGTTCTAAATACACAGTAAAAACATAAGGTAGAATGATGTTCATGACGTCATCATCCGGGGGGCGATGCTCATGGACATGAGTTCTTGGAACAGCAACTTACAGGCATAGGGCATCCGGACCAGGGACACCTGTGGGGAGACCAGGACTGAGACCAGGACCAGGACTGAGACCAGGGCAGAGAGAGAGACCAGGGCAGAGAGAGAGACCAGGGCAGAGAGAGAGACCGGGGCAGAGAGAGAGACCGGGACAGAGAGAGACGGGGACAGAGAGAGACGGGGACAGAGAGAGACGGGGACAGAGAGAGACGGGGACAGAGAGAGACGGGGACAGAGAGAGACAGGGACAGAGAGAGACAGGGACAGAGAGAGACCAAGACAGAGAGAGAGACCAGGACAGAGAGAGACCAAGACAGAGAGAGACCAGGACAGAGAGAGAGACCAGGACAGAGAGAGACCAAGACAGAGAGAGACCAAGGCATTGAGAGACAAAGACAGAGAGAGACCAGGACAGAGAGAGACCAGGACAGAGAGAGACCAGGACAGAGAGAGACCAGGACAGAGAGAGACCAGGACAGAGAGAGACCAGGACAGAGAGAGACCAGGACAGAGAGAGACCAGGACAGAGAGAGACCAGGACAGAGAGAGACCAAGACAGAGAGAGACAAGAGACCAAGACAGAGAGAGACCAAGACAGAGAGAGAGACCAGGGCAGAGAGAGACCAGGACAGAGAGAGACCAGGACAGAGAGAGACCAGGACAGAGAGAGAGACCAGGACAGAGAGAGACCAGGACAGAGAGAGACCAGGACAGAGAGAGACCAGGACAGAGAGAGACCAGGACAGAGAGAGACCAAGACAGAGAGAGACCAAGACAGAGAGAGACCAAGACAGAGAGAGAGACCAGGGCAGAGAGAGACCAGGACAGAGAGAGACCAGGACAGAGAGAGACCAAGACAGAGAGAGACCAAGACAGAGAGAGACCAAGACAGAGAGAGAGACCAGGGCAGAGAGAGACCAGGACAGAGAGAGACCAGGACAGAGAGAGACCAGGACAGAGAGAGACCAGGACAGAGAGAGACCAGGACAGAGAGAGACCAGGACAGAGAGAGACCAAGACAGAGAGAGACCAAGACAGAGAGAGACCAAGACAGAGACCAGGACAGAGACACAAGGACAGAGAGAGACCAGGACAAAGAGAGACCAGGACAGAGAGAGACCAGGACAGAGAGAGAGACCAGGACAGAGAGAGAGACCAGGACAGTCGTACCTGTGTCTTGTTGCGGCAGCCGCGGCACTCGTAGGTGTGTGTGCGTGTGTTAGCGATAGCCATGAGGCCGCACAGGTTACACACATGCACCTGGTACGGGTCGGACGCCTCGAACAGTCGCTCGCGCAGGAACTGAGCCGCTCCGTGGGCAATCTGACAATCTCGCTCCATCTCGCCGAAACGCAGGCCGCCATCACTGAGGGACACAGAGATACCATGGTTACAGATGCCAATTTATGAGACTAAAGTACAAATTATCCTTTCACTCCAAAAACAGTGGTGATAAACTATTACTGGAGCGATAACTGCCCTGGGGCACAGTGACAGAAGCGAGGCAACCAGTCTGTGCCATCTGCCTGTTCGTCCACAATCAATCAATCTCACATATTCACACTGCCCTCCCGTGTAGAGTAGGGCCAAGAAGGGCTGGTGGAAACGGGGTTATAATGATATCTATAGATCAAACATTTAAAACACAGACGGTGAATGTGTCGCGTGAGACTCACCGGGACCGTCCCTCCATGGGCTGTCGGTTCAGGATCTGCACTGGACCTCGGGCTCTGGAGTGGATCTTGTCGTCCACCATGTGCTTCAGACGCTGGTAATAAGTGGGACCGATGAAGATCTGGGACGTCAGCTTCCTCCCAGTGAAACCGTTATACAGCACCTGGACAGAGACCGGAGTGAGAGAGATCAGAGCGAGACCAGAGAGAGAGACCAGAGCGAGAGACCAGAGCGAGAGACCAGAGCGAGAGAGATCAAAGCGAGACCAGAGCAGAGAGATCAGAGCGAGAGTGATGAAAGTGAGACCAGAGAGAGAGACCAGAGCGAGAGAGATCAACGCTCTGGTATATCTGGTTATATCACGATATGACGATTATCAATATTTTGGTCAGCAATATACCATAATGCCAATATATGGCATACATAAAATAGAAAATTGTTAAGTCAAAAATATACACTTCATGATAAATGGAATGGAGATGTGTAGCCATGTATGAAGTTTTTTTATTTTTTTATTCAAAATCGATACTTGGCAGTTGCATATTGCTCTGATATATCGCTCTCGGGAGAAAGTATCGCGATATATCAAAAAATAAAAAAAATCGATATATCGTCACACTCTTATGTACCACCAATGGGCTCGGATCTGCAGACTAATTTCACGTTACCCAGAAAAACGTCCCGTAGAACTCAATGTAAACTAAAACAGTTGGACCTCAGCTGACAGAGAACCTACAGAATCCTCCTTCATGAAAGCTGTAGATTCTCTGTGGGAATTTTTTGTTTCCTTTGTCATCCTGAACTTTTTTTGTTATTAAATCCTTGTTTTTTTAAAATAAATCCACACTTTAGTGCAACAAACTCTGCTGGTTTTCCTCCCGCTCTGGCTCTGCTCTGATTGGTCAAAACGCTGCCCCTCTGTGCCACACACTTGTCATTGTTAGTATTTGGAGCAAAGAATCACGGGAGCTCGACCACTTCGCAGAACCCGGGAGGACCAGAGAAATACTCAAATACGGGCGAGTTCTGCTAATCTTGTTGGTCCCATGTGAAATGAGTACAAGCCACAGATTTGAAAAAGGTGGTCTCGGGGTGGTCTCGGGGTGGTCTCGGGGTGGTCTCGGGGTGGTCTCGGGGTGGTCTCGGGGTGGTCTCGGGGTGGTCTCGGGGTAGTCTCGGGGTAGTCTCGGGGTAGTCTCGGGGTGGTCTCGGGGTAGTCTCCTCACCTCGTTGCCTCGGAGATGGTAGCCGTACTCTGCCAGCAGGTTGGACACCTTCTGCACGTTGACGGCGTCGTTGAAGGGCGTAGCGTCTCCAATCTCTCCTTTGTTTGCAGAAACCTGGATACACAGTTTTATTCATGTATCTGTCAGCTGCTCACTGGGGATTTACTGCTATTGTAAAGAAACTGCATCTGACTCTGAATCTGACGGATACAAGTTTGAGCAGCTTTCGAATGAGGAGGCCTTGCCTTCTACCAGACTCGGACTCGGACTCGGACTCGGACTCGGACTCGGACTCGGACTCGGACTCGGACTCGGACTCGGACTCGGACTCGGACTCGGACTCGGACTCGGACTCGGACTCGGACTCGGACTCGGACTCGGACTCGGACTCGGACTCGGACTCGG